ACTCAGACGACACCCTGTAGGAGCTGGTGTCCCCCACCCTGTCCCCAGTGACATCTCTTCTTTTCTAGGGCTCCACTATCCCCATCAACCAGGCCAGGCCCAACCGGAACCTGACCTTGACCAAGAAGGAGCCTGTCGGGTGAGTCCCTGCCCTGGGTGAGGGGTGGCCACGCTGCCACTGCTCGGGCACTGCTCAGGTGTCCCGCGGGGCATCCCCAGCCCCGCTGTCCTGTCGTGTCTGACCACACGGTGCAGGGACAGCACCGTAGCAGGCCTCGGGCGTTCCGTCTAATGCCCACAGTGATCCTGAGGTCCTGGTGGCCAATGGGGTTCCCTCCAAGAAGTCCATCTACAAAGGGTGTGATGGGATCCCTGTGTGTGCAAATTAGAAAGTTCTGGAAAAACAGCTGCATAGGGGTTCTCGAGAGGAGGAGAGAAGGTCTCTAATGATCAGAGAGGCTGCTCCGGAGGAAGCCTGGGGAGGGAGCAGCTCCCATGGAGACCAGGGAGCAGGGACTCCACTCTCCAGGCACAAACAGAGACCCCAAGCCACAGCCCCAGGGCCACCTCCTCCCACACCCACCTGCCTCCAGGGACCACCAGGGGACCCCCCAGGGAGCCATGCACTGCTGGGGTTCAGGCCTCACACCCACTCAGTCCTCCTCTGGACCTTCCTGTGCCACCTCCCACGGGGGCTCTGGGGACACTCACAGCCAGACCCCCTTACCCTGCTGACCCACGTGCCAGTCATCCCTGCAAGCAGCCCCAGAGACAAACTCGGAAGTGCACTTCACCAATTTTCTAAGAATCTCTCAGCCCAGTCGAGGTGACAACCAAGGTTTGTCATCACGATTGTCCGAGGACAGAAGGTGACATGGAAATCAGCCTGACCCCCAAGGACCTTGGAAACACAAAACTGGCCATGCAGTACCTCATGTGAACACCAGAGGGCTCCAAAGCCACGGTAGACAGAAGGGCGAGTTGGCCATCAGTCAGTCCAACTCGGCAATGACCATTCAGGACGCCTTTCAGTCGCCGTGAATGACACACGCGTAGAAGCGGGTTCCCTCAAGAGGCCACACACTGGCCTTGACATCCAGCAGAGCCAGAGGGTTTCTTTTTACTGCACAATTCCAGTACCAGGGGTGTGAACCTTTTCCCTGAATGGCAGGTATGAGTTTGCTTACGTTGCTGTAACAAACTGCCACAGACAAGGTGTCCTCATCAACAGCTGCTGGCTCACAGTTCTGGCAGCAGGACATCTGTGATCAAGGTGTCTGCAAGGCTGTTTCCTTCTGAGGCCTGGGAGGGAGCATCTGTCCCAGGCCTCTCCTGACTTATGTGTTGGACGGTTCTCCGTTACTGTGACAAAATACCTGAGATAATCCACTTGATAAGGGAGAAGACTGACTCTGGCTCACGGTTGCGGAAGGATCAGTCCTTTGCCTTGGGCCGGTGGCAGTGGTGTATCATGGCGGGAGCTTACAGCAGAAGAGGCCTGTTCATGGCAACCTGGAAGAAAGGAGGAGAGAGAGGAAGGAGCTGGGATCCCAAGTCCCCTTGAAGGATGTACCCTTGATGGTGGCCTTCCTCCCATTAGGAGGGCTCCCACAGGGTTCAGCACCCCAGGCCACACCACAGGCTGGGAGCCCAGCCTTTGACACACAGCTGTGTCCTTGCCCACGTGGACTCCCCCGAGTGCCTCAATAAGGAGGCCAGCGTCTTTGCAATATGGGCCTTCTCTAATTCATCCTGAGGTTCTGGGGATGAAGACAGACTTCAACTTGTGAATTGGAGGGGACACAATTCCCGCCATAACTGGGGGACTCTTCTGACTGGCTCTCTTCTTTCAAGACCCCCCTCCAATAAGCCTTTTTTAAAATATTTTATTTAGAGGCAGGGTCTCACCAATTTTCTCAGGGCCTCCCTAAGTTGCTGAGGCTGGCCTCCAACTTGCAATCCTCCTGCCTCAGCCTCCCGAGTTGCTGGGATGACAGGCGTGTGCCACCACGCCCACCTGGCTAGACCTCCTGGCTTTTTGTTCTCACTCGTACATGGCCACGGTCCCCACTCCCATTGTCTGTGTCCCTGGACTGCTCTCATCAGAATCTGATCAGGGTCCCCTACCATGGTGGGCAGTAGGAGGAAGGACTGCCACCACGGTCACTCTCGGTACTGAATCCAGGTGAGAAAAGGCAGGTGTGACTGTCTCCAGGACTCTCCGTGCCTTTGGGGGCAGCCTGGCTTTGACAGTGGAGGTCAGGCCCTGGGAGAGGAGGAGGGGGTCAGCAGGTCCCCTCTGGGCTGAGACAAGAGAGGAAGGCCCAATTCTCTGGTGCGGCAGGGTCTGCGGTATCATCATCCCCTGGAACTACCCCCTGATGATGCTGTCCTGGAAGACGGCTGCCTGCCTGGCCGCTGGGAACACGGTGGTCATCAAGCCTGCCCAGGTGAGCTGCTCAGGCCCTTGCTACGCTGTTGAGGCTGGCCTCTAACTCGAGATCCTCCTGCCTCAGCCTCCTGAGTCGCTGGGATGACAGGCAGTCACCACGGCTCCTGGCTTGACCAGGGATTTGCAGAAACAGAAGGGGAACAATTTGTGGGGGGAAAACTGCTTCCATTTTGATTTCCACAATTTCCACACCTGGGGCCATAGTCAGAGTTACACAGAAGCTCAGAAGGCAGGGGCTGCTGGGACTTCAGTGGGCAGCGGTCACCTCCCCGGACAGCCTCGACTCCGCCCTAAAGTTGGCAGTTCTCAGAGGAGGAGGCTGAGGGACCGGGGTCAGGGCGTTCTGGAAGGCAAGCTGGAGGCTTCTGGGGACGGGGACGGTTGGACTCCTGAGGGGCTTAGTATCAACAGAAAAGAAAGGAATACAGCACTGGACGGTCCAGGCTTGGCCAAGTGGACACAGCCCTGCCGGGATGAGCCAGGATGCCAGAGGTTGGCAGGCCCCTGTTCCCACCTGAGGTGTAAGGAAGGCCGTCTGGATTGGCCGTGCCCCTATGGTTGACCACGAATGTGGCTTCCCCGGGATCTTCCTGGTGCCCTAATCCATGGTGCCCCCTGCTTACAACTGGAGCCACTGGGAGACAGAGACAGAGAGGGAAGGCTAATCCCAGGGGCTCGGGAGGCTGAGGCAGGAGGATCACAAGTTGGAGGCCAGCCTCAGCAACTCAGCGAGACCCTGTCTCTAAATAAAGTATAAAAAGGGCTGGGGACAGGGCTCGGTGGTTAAGCACCCCTGGGTTCAATCCCCGGTACTATTAAAAAAAACAAAACCCTCTTGTCCGGGTCTTCTTCCCTGTCCCCTGCAGGTGACCCCGCTCACAGCCTTGAAGTTTGCGGAGTTGACATTGAAGGCCGGCATTCCCAAGGGCGTGATCAACATCCTCCCCGGATCTGGTGAGGGCTTCAGACAGGGGCAGGGCTGGGGCTCCAGGCGGCCAGAGCAGGGCCAACTGGATAATGTGTCCTTCGAGGGCAGAGTGGCCTGGGGGACGCAGTGCAGAGCTCAGCCAGAGGGAGGGAGGCCTGCTCCCCGGGGAGCGACCTGCATCTGGAAGGACTTCCATTCTCAGACACCTTCGGGTCCTTGGCCCAGCTTCGGCCGGGCTGTTTGTTTTCGGATTAAGGTTGACGAGTCCTTTGTCCTTCCTGGGGACCCATCCTCTGTCCGATAAATCTTTGCAAATATTTTGTCCCCCCAAACTACACCCGAACGAGGGCGGAGAGGTAGGACGGAACTCGTACCAAAGTCATTTGTCGGACTTTGACTTGCTCTAAAGGGAGTTGGCGAGGGTCTCCGTCCACACCTGCCCACCCGGGATCTTCGTGGGTCCAGAAGGAGGGATCGAGCCACCCGAGGAGCCCAAGGACTGGGCAGTTCACGGGATGGGGAAGACAAGTGTCCAGAGTGACCTCCCCCTCTGTGTGGAGAGCCGTGACGTGGATCACGGTCCTCTGATTGCCTGGTGGCTGCGTGGCTCTGGGAACTCCCTGGGTAAAGGTGCAGATCAAGATTGCCCCATTGCTATGGTGACACCCGCCCCAGACAGGCTCCAATGCAAAGGCATAGAGCTGTGTCAGTCTGGACCCTCAGCTCAGGCACCAGCTCCCGGGGAGAGAGGATTCCGAGCATAACAAGATGGCCCCCGTGTCTCGCCAATCCTGCGTCCTTCAGATGGCCGCTTTGAAGGAACTTTCCCACAAATAGCCTTTGGTGAAACCTCTATGACCAGAGCTGGCCCTGGTCACGGCTCCTCCATCAGGGGGCGATGTCCGACCTGGCCCCAGCTTTTTCTCTCTCTGTGTGTCTGTTTGTCTCTTCTCAATCCCTCCATGGCCTCTTGTCGCTGGTGCCCGAACAGGGACATGAAGAGGTCCGTGGCGCCCCCGCTTAACTGGCCGCCAGGAGAGGCTGTCCACCTGCCGGGGGGAGCAGGGTCAGGGACGATTGACAGCTCAAGTTGAAACATGTCAGATCCAAGAGGCTCTCAGATATCCAGGCCCAGGAGCCGAGCAGGCAGAGGGGGACAAGGGACGCCGGATTCCAGAGGAGCTCGGCCAGAGATACAGACTGAGGGGATGACTGATCCAGAGATGGCGTTCGAAGGCCTGGCGGAGTCACAGAGGGGGCTGTGACCTGCAGGACGGAGCCAGGGCGCTGGACAGGCCAAGAAGATGGACGAGGGGCAGTCAGAGAGGTGGAGCAGAACAGGAGGGCACAGGTGGACAGGGAGGAAGGGTTGGAAGCCGCGTCGGGAAAGGGCCTCGAGAGGAGTCTTGGCTGAGTTTGGAAAGTCCACCTTGGAGTCTCACTGCCGCTGCGCAGTACAGAGGGACTGGGCAGCTGGTGGGCAGCTGTGTGCTGGGCTCAGCACAGAACTGGGAGGCCGAGGGGCATGGGACAGGGACAGGAGTGACTTGGTTCCGTGGCAGAGGCTGGAAGTCCCAGGTCAAGGTGGTGGCACGTGGGTTCTCTCTGAGATCTCGCTGCTTGGCTTGTGGCTGCTGTCCCTCTGTGGGCATCTGTGTCCCAATCCCCTTTGCTCTGAAGGACACCAGTCCCACTGGGATGGGGCCCACCCTAGTGACCTCATTTACTCCTTGGAAGTCCCCGTCTCCAGAGAGTCACCTTCAGAAGTGCTGAGGTTGGGACTTCCGATTCTGGACCCAGGGGGACACAGTTGAGCCCACACCAGGGAGCAGGGGTGTGCACCTGCTGCCGGGGCTGGGCTTATTCCCGGCACCATGGGGTCCACTGTGACCCTCCTGCTCCCCCGCCCACAGGCTCGCTGGTCGGCCAGCGGCTCGCAGACCATCCCGACGTGAGGAAAATCGGATTCACGGGCTCCACGGAGGTGGGAAAGCACATCATGAAGAGGTAAGGGTTGGGCTGGGCGGAGGGGGCGGCCCCGGCGGCCACGGCACCCGGGTGTAGCTGATGCTGTTGTGTGAGCGGGAGGTTATTCTTGTCTTCACGGGAGGTTATTCTTGTCTTCACTATAATAATTCCCTTTTTTAAAAAAAATTTGTTCTTTGTAAGTGTCCCTGACAGCCGTGTGCATTTTGACACGTCACACCTACCTGGGGTGTGACGTCCCATTCCTGTGGTTGGACCTGCTGTGGGGTGTGCCTGGTCGTGGGTTCCTATGTGAACATGGGAAAGTGACGTCCATTCATTCCCCTGTCTCTCACAGTCCCCCTCCCCTCCCTCCCCTCCATTCCCCAGCGTCTCATCCAATGCACTTCTGTTCTCCCCTCTCCCTCTCTCGGGACTGTGGGTCAGCATCCACACATCAGAGAGGACATTTGGTCTTTGAGGGGGGGGGGTTGGCTTATTTCACTTAGCATGATCGTCTCCAGCTCCGTCCATTGACAGGCATATACCATCATTTCACTCTTCTTCATGACTGAGTAATATTCCATTGCATACCTATACCGCATTTCCTTTATCCGTTCATCTGTTCAAGGGCATCCAGGTGCTGGTTTTTGAGCTTTGGGGTGCACAGCCAACCCCAGTGGCCATGTTTAATGCTGATGCTGGCCCAGTGGGTCTGTCCCCGTCCAGCCCTTGGGAGGCCTGTGGGGCTGCCCTATAGAAGCCACTCTGACCAGTAGTGTCCTGGCCCCATGCTGTCCCATGGGAGGCCACTGCCCCCCACACACACACTGAAAACGAATCTCTGGGCTTGGCTTTTGGCATCTTCAGTTTGAGTGACGGGCAGCAGCCCGGGAACTGGGCCCTGCTGAGCGCTCTGCCTGTGGCCTCTGGTTTCTTCCCCCTTTTTCTGTCTCTGTTTTAGGGGGTCCCAGGGGAACTCCAGGGTGGTCTGGAGAAGGGCCACTCTTGGATCACAGTAGAGTCCCCTCACCGCCCCTCTCTGATCAGAATGACTTTCTTTCTCTTTGGGACGCATCTCCCGCAGGCTGGTCCCAGGCAGCCTGGTTGTCTCCCAGTGGGGACAGCGTCCAGCTGCAGCAGGACACAGTGACCGCCCCTGACCTCCCCATCCCCCTGCCTTCGGCTCAGTGGCTGACGAGTCAGGTTCCCGGGGTCAGGAGAGGCTGGCACCGGGGCCATGACACGGCACGGCGATGGTGTCTGGCCAGCAACAGAAGCCACCAGGAGGGACGGCAGGTCACTGACCTCCTGACTCACAAGCCAGCCTCTGACGTGAGGACATCAAGGTCAAATCCCAGTGCACAATTTCAAGTGCAGAGAGAAGGCTCGGGAAAGGTCCGCTCTTGGAACCTTCCAGAAGGAGATTTCTTTTTTGGTACCAGGGATTGAACCCAGGGGTATTTGACCCCTCAGCCCCGTCCACAGCCCCGTTCTGTATGTTATTTAGACACAGGGTCTCCCTGAATTGCTCAGGGCCTCGCTGTTGCTGAGGCTGGCCTCCGACTTGCGATCCTCCTGCCTCAGCCTCCTGAGCCGCTGGGATGACAGGTGTGCACACTGCACCTGGCCAGGCCTGGTCCAGTTTACTGAATGCGCACTGGACAGCAGCGTCTTTGAGGTGGTGCCCAGCTTCTCTGGGTGCCATCCCTACAAAGTTGAGATGCCAAAGCCCCCATGGCCTCTGCAGTCCTGCCAACTGGGGGATGATTCTGTGTCTTATTTATTCGTTCAGCATTTATGGAGCACCAGCTGTATGCAAGGCAGAGTGCCTAATAGGAACCAGACAAGTGTCTGCCTGTCCCAGAGAGCCTCGTGCTCCGGCAGGCGGATGAGTTCTGAACGGAAAGAAACAACCCAGTGGGTACCGGGCAGAGCAATGAGCAGACGTTTCACAGAGGAAGAAATACGACCGGCCAACAGACGTATGGAACAGTGTCCCACATCTCCAGCCATCAGAGAAGTGCCAGTCAATCAGAACTGCACTGAGATCCCACCTCACTCCTGCCAGGGTGGTGACTGTCAAGAATACAAGTGACAATAAGTGTGGGTGAGGATGTGGCTGGGGGGCTGCACCTTGGTGAACCACTCTGGAAAGCAGGATGGAGATTCCTCAGAAAACTTGGAATGGAACCACCATTGGGCCCAGCTGTCCCACTCCTCTGTCTGTACCCAAAGGACTTAAAAGCAGCACGCTACAGGGACACAGCCCCATCAGTGTTTATAGCAGCTCAGTTCACAGCCGCTAAGCTACGGAGGAACCAACCTAGACGCCCTTCAACAGATGAACGGATAAGGAAAAGTGAGTTACATATACACAGTGGAATATTACACAGCCATAAAGAAGAATGAGGTGACGGCACTTTGCTGGTAACTGGATGGATCTGGAGGCTGTCGTGCTGAGTGAAATAAGCCAGTCCCCAAACGTCAAAGGCTGAATATTCTGACATGCGGATGCCGACTCACCATGAGGGGAGGGGTGGGGGCCGGGGAAGGATGGAGGTCCTTTGGATCTGGCAGAGGAGATGGAGGGAAGGGGAGGGGCGGGACACAGGGGTGGGAAGGGCAGAAGAATGAATCGGGCATCACTACCCTAAGTGCATGTCTGGTCACACAACTGGTGTGAGCTGACACCAAAGCACGACCAGAGGACGCGAAGCCACACCCTGTCTGTGTACCATGTGCCAAAATGCATCCTGCAGTCACGGATGACTCTTTGGAGCAAATTTTTTAAGTTAATCAATCTAGAAGGTGGGGGGACGGCGAGGGCAAAGGCCCGGTGGCTGAGCGCTCGGGTGTTGGGGACAGGAAGGTGGGGACGTGGGGCACGGGGCAGGCGTGGGCCAGGTTTCTGGAGCCCAGCAGGCACGGGCCTGCCCCGTCCCCTCGGCCCTGGGGCCTGGTGTTCCCGGGCGCCGGCCCCAGTGCCCTGTCGCTTCCAGTTGTGCCCTAAGTAACGTGAAGAAGGTGTCCCTGGAGCTGGGCGGGAAGTCACCGCTCATCATCTTCGCCGACTGCGACCTCAGCAAGGCCGTGCAGATGGTGAGGGCTGGGCTAGGCGGGGACGATGGGGGGACTGGGGACAGGGAGGGGCCACGGGCAGGGGGCACCTGGGAGGGGAGGTGTCTCAGCTTCTTTGCTGCTGTGACCAGGAGACCCCACAAGAGCAATCGGGGGACAGTGGACGTGGGGCTCAGGGTGTCCACAGACGGTGGCCCCACTCCTGGGCGAGGGGAGGCAGGACATCATGGAGGAAGAGTGTGGGGAGGGAGCAGTTCCCACGGGGACCAGGGAGCAGGGACTCCACTCTCCAGGGACAAAGAGAGACCCCAAGCCACGGCCCCAGGGCCACCTGGTCTCCACACCCCGCCCGGGGCCACCAGGGGACCCCAGGGAGCCATTCCCTGCCGGGGTTCAGGCCTCACACCCCCTCAGTCCTCCTCTGGACCTTCCTGTGTCACCTCCCAGGGGGGCTCTGGGGACATGTCACAGCCACAGCAGGACAGCCTGTCACCTGCCCTGGTGACCTGTCAGTCCTAGGATCTCAGCCCCTGTCCCAGGCCCCGTGCTGCGGGGTCCTGCAGGGTCCCGAGCGGGGCTGTGGCTGTGACACACGGCAGGTCCCCTTAGGGACACTTCACCCTAGAGGCCAGCAGCGGCTGACAGATCAGCACAGGAGCAGGAGGACAGGGCAGGAGGGGACAAAGAAGCGGGGCCAGAACCATCCCCCGTGGGTCAGAGCAGCAAAAGTCCCTAAGCCGCAGGCACCCAGAGTCCCCAGGCTGTTGACGGGCTTGTCCCCACGTAGGAACGCAGGAGGTCCCTGCAGGACACGGCTGCCCTCTCCAGGCTGCCATGGACCCCAATGTGCCCTTGAGAGTGGACACCCGGCTGCGCTCAGGGCTTTGAGGTCCTCCCCTGGACCATGCACTACTAATAGTGTCACCTGCGACCTCGGGGTCCCGGCCTCCTTTCCTGCCCTCGCAAGGCAGACTCCCTCGGTCCCCCTAACCAGGCCTGGCCCCAGGAGGAGAGTGTGACCCAGGCACACGTCCCCTTGGCAGGGGCTGGGGACAGGAGCCGGGGGGTGGCTGTAACCGCTGTCCCCTCTGCAGGGCATGAGCTCCGTCTTCTTCAACAAGGGGGAGAACTGCATCGCGGCCGGGAGGCTCTTTGTGGAGGACTCGATCCACGACCAGTTCGTGAGGAGGGTGGTGAGTGCTGGCCCAGGGTCTCAGGCTGCTGGCTCGCGGGGCCCTGGGGGGGCTGAGAGGCGGGGAGGCCGGGACAGGCTCCCGTCACAGATCGCCACCCACCTGGGTCAGGGGACCCGTAAGGCAGGAGCCGTGAGCCTCCATAGGTTTTTACTGGTTCAGCAAGAAACGGTCCCCAGACTGGAAATGATGTGACCCAAACAGGCCTGTGGGCTGGGGGTGTCCTCAGGGGTAGGTGCAGGCCCTTGGTTCCATCTCTCCTAACACCCTCCCCCCCAAAAAAAGACAGAAAATAGTAGCCGGGTGTAACGGCCCACACTTTCATGCCAGCACCTCGGGAGGCTGAGACAGGAGGATCGCAAGTTGGAGGCCAGCCTCAACCACTTAGCAAGGCCCTGAGCCACTCAGCGAGACACTGAGTTGGGGACTGGGGGCGGTCCTCCTCCTCAGGGAGGAGCAAAGCCTGATCTGACCCGAGAACTTTCCGCAGGTGGAGGAGGTGGGGAAGATGAAGATCGGCAACCCCCTGAACAGAGACACGGACCACGGGCCACAGAACCACCAGGCGCACCTCAACAAGCTGCGGGAGTACTGTCAGCGAGGCGTGAGGGAAGGGGCCACGCTGGTCTGTGGCGGGAACCAGGTCCCTCGGCCAGGTGGGTCGGCGCTCCCGGGGCCACCGAGGCAGCTGGTACCATGGCCTCCGATTTCTGGCTGGGATGGAAGTTGGGGACCGTGGGTGGCCAGGGACCTGCACAGCTAGACTTCAGGCCCATCTGATACCTTGACTGGGGGGGAGGGCTTAGCTGTTTGGGCACCTGTCAGACCCAGGTACGGGACTGGCAAGGTGAGGACCTCAGAACTGAACACGTCAGGGCTGGCGTTCATCCATATTGGAACTAGAAGCTGGGCGCGGTGGCGCACGCCTGTCCTCCCAGTGCCTCAGGAGGCTGAGGCAGGAGAATCGCAAGTTGGAGGCCAGCCTCAGCCACTTACAAAAAAGCCGCATGCCCTGTCACAGACTTAGGTTACAAAGACAAAGCAAATGTACGACAGTGGCCTGTGACAGGTCCTTGTCTCAGCTCTGGCCCTGGGGTCACTTGGTTCAAGACTGAGCTCCATCAGACCCCAGCCCTGTGGCCTGTGGCCTCATTCTCCTAAGCAGCATTTGGTGCACAGGGCGGTAAGGACCGGGACACACCCGGGACACGCCCGGCTGCAGAGGTGGGGTCTGTTCCCTGGGCGCCAGGACATTGGGCTTCTGGGTTGGGATGTCTGCCCAGTACCTGGCCTGACCCAGGCGCTGCCTGGCGGGGGTGGAGAGGCCAGGCCACAGGGCAGGGGGATGGCGCCCTCCCGCGTGCCACAGGCCTCTGTCCCCCGCAGGCTTCTTCTTCGAGCCGACGGTGTTCACGGACGTGGAGGACCACATGTTCATAGCCAAGGAGGAATCCTTCGGGCCCATCATGGTCATCTCCCGGTTTGCCGACGGGTAGGGGCGCCTCTCAGGGCCGAGCCTTGCTGTGGGTGACGGGGTCTTTGAATGAGCTCTGGGAGGTGGTCCCCAGGGGCCAGAAGGAATTGGGGGACGCAGGCTGAGCTGCCTGCAGAGGCTCCTCCCACCACCAGGGGCGCTGGTCCCCCAGGGAGCAGGTGGCCTCAAGTCCCCTCCCATCCTGTCCCCTCCCTGTGTTCCCTGGGTCTGTTTCCTGCGGCCTGATGGGTTCTGTTTTGGGGTGAGACCACCCAAAACGGAGGGGCTTCAGGGAGCAGCAGGAGTGTGCTGCGTTTGTGAACCTGCAGTTTGGTTCGGGTTGGGGAGGGCCGGTCACCTCTGCTGGGAGTGGCCGTGCTAACCTGGGCTCAGGACCTCGCTCACCGAAGGCTCGCTGCTCCCCAGCACGGCAGCCTCCAGGCTGAGGTCCCAACCCCCAGTTCCCATAGATCCCAGCTGCATGTGCAAGGATCCTTAGGATCTGACTCGAGAATCTCCAGATCATTCCTTCTGCCATGTTCTAGTGGTCAAGCAGTCAGCAAAGCCGGCCTCTTGTGATGAGAAGGAGTGGCTGGAGGCAGAGCAGGGTGGCTGGGAGGCTGAGGCAGGAGGATCGCAAGTTGGAGGCCAGCCTCAGCCCCTCATGAGGCCCTGAGCCACTCACGGAGACCCTGTCTCTAAGTAGAATATTCAAAAGGGCTGGGGATGGGATGGGGCTCAGGGGTTTAAGTGCCCCCGAGTTCAATCCCTGGTACAAAAAAAAAAAAAAAATCTGATTTCTATTGAACGTCAGATGCCTCCAGTGGCCACATGTGCCTTCCTACCTGGGATGGGCTCCTCTTCTGCCCTAGGACCTCTGGTATCGACCATATGACTGTCTCTGGTCTCCTTCCCTCCCTTTGTCCTTCCCAGGACGGGGTCTCTATGTTGCCCAGGCTGGTCTCAAACTCCTGGGCCCTAGCGATCCTCCCATCTCAGCCTCCAGTGGCCTGGACAGCAGTACTGTCACCACGCCTGGCTCCTCTTTCCTATTCTACTCTGCCCCCTGCAGGCTGGCTTTAACCCTGGCCCATTTTTGGTGGGGGGACTGGGGACTGAACGCAGGGGCACTGGACCCCTGGGCCCCACCCCAGCCCACTTTTGAAATTTATTTAGAGGCAGGGTCTCACTGAGCTGCTGAGGGCCTCGCTCTTGCTGAGGCTGGCTTTAAACTTGTGATCCTCCTGTCTCAGCCTCCCGAGCGGCTGGGAGGACAGCCGTGGCCAATGTGCCTGGCTAACCCTGGCCGACTTCTCCTTTCATGTGCAGCAGGGAGCGTGGAGTGGGCCTCGCTGCCCTGGGAAGGAGGGGATCCTAGGTCAGGGCGGAGCCCCTGTGACCCTCCCTCAGGGAGTACTTGGCCTTTTCCCACAGGGACATGGATGGCGTGCTGTCTCGGGCTAACGCCACGGAATTTGGCCTGGCCTCTGGTGTCTTCACCCGGGACATCAACAAGGCCCTGTATGTCAGTGACAAGCTGGCGGCTGGGACCGTGTTCGTGAACACGTACAACAAGACCGACGTGGCCGCCCCCTTTGGAGGATTCAAGCAGTCTGGATTTGGCAAGGACCTGGGTAATTTCACCTGCCGGAAGGCTGTTTTCATTTATTCACTCAACAAACACTTGCAAAGGCCCGACCTGGGCCACGTGATAGGGTACCTCAGTGTAGCGAGATGGCGGTGAGGTCACTGCTTCTTCCTGGGAGGGAGGCAGCCTAGACAGGGGGCGAGAAAGGCACCTTGCAGAGCAGATGCAGCCCCGGGCAGGGGCCTGAGGAGACCTGGGTGGCCAGGAGGGGTTGACCCTAAGAACAGGGGCCGTGTTCAGGGCACAGGGCTCAGAGAGGCCACAGGGTTGGTGTGGGCAGAGGCTGGAAGACAGCAGGCCTGAAAGGCAGGCAGGCAGGCTGGGCCGGACCTCGGGGGACCACAGGGGCCACTTAGAGACTCAGGCCTCACCCACTCATTACCCAGGACATCCGGGGTAAGGCGAGGGGCCTCCCCGGGCACCTGCTTCTCATCCTCTAGTACAGGAAGCCAGCCTCACGCCCCAGCCACTTACGCTTGTGCATCCCCCACGACAGTGGGTGGCCGTGTGGCCCAGCAGCCTGTGGTGTCTTGCAGGAGAGGCGGCCCTGAATGAGTACCTGCGGGTCAAGACGGTGACTTTTGAATACTGAACAGAAGTGGCCTTCAGAAGGATGACCTGTCCTTGCAGCACACCTTGTCACCTTGACCTGCCTTCCCTAGGGAGGCCAGCTCAGCCTCCCTCCCAGATAGGGAGCCTCCTACTTGGAGCCGCTGCGGGAAGTCCCCAAGCCAGCTCCCGGCCAATCACAGTGGCCCTTGGCCGAGGGGGCGGGGCCTGCGGGGCTAATAAATGTCAGTAGAGGCAGCCTGCACCTTCTCTGTGTCCACTTGGGCTACTGGGCCACCTGGGGAGTCACGTAGTCACCCTGAGGCGTGGGTGTGGTCAGCTCAGGCTCCCAGACTGGTGCTGAGATGGAGTCAGGGGTGCAAGAGCTTCGGGGTGACGCTGGGAAACATGCCCAGGAGGAAGCGGGGCTGCAGAAGTGCCCTGTGCTGGGGAACAGCTCTGGTGCTCGGCCAGGACCCCGCGGCCCTGCCCACCGCGCACCTAGGACCCCGCGGACCCCCGCCCACCCACTCACTGGGGACAGTAAGGCCTAGGGTGGCACCTGTCTTTGGCCCCTCGCGTGTTGGGCGTCGGTCCCGGTTTCCCTGAGGCCCAGGGTGCTCCTTGCATGGGGAGCCCTGGGCTCTCCAGCTGCACCCATCCTGCGGGTCCCCAGCACCAACGCCCCTGCCCCTGGGGCCTGCCTCTCAAAGCAGTCTCCTCGGCACCCCTGCCCGACACCCCCGGTTCCTCCTTGTGGCCACGCCTCCCCGAAGGTCCCTCTGTCCTTCCCAGGCTGCTGGCCCTGCTGGGCACGGCCAGTGCCTCCCTAGGAGTAGTTCAGCCCCTCGTGTAGCTCGCTGCCCTGCAGCCACGTCTTCGCCAAGCCCCACCTGGCCTTTCTCTCCTTAAAATTACTCCCGGAAAGAGAAAGATCTGTAAAAAAGGAAGTGGACTTTGACGAAAGCCGGCTTTGGGGGTGTGGGGACCACCGCGGAGGCCTCAGCCCCGCGGCTAGAGCTCTCCCTTTGGGTCGCGCCGCCCACACGAGTCCCCGCCCCGAGCCCCGCCCTCCCCGCCCCGCCCCCAGCCGCATGGCCCCGCCCCTTCCCTCCCCGCTCTCCGTTCCTCAGCCACCGGGCCCCGCACCTTTCCCTGCTCCCCACCCCTCAGCCACGTGGACCCACCCGCTTCCCGTGCTTCCGGCCCCTGAGACCCCCCCCCCAGTCCCCCCTCCGCCCCCCCCCCCCCCCCGGCGCCCCGCCCTCAGCCGCGTGGACACGCCCCAGCCCCGCCCCCTTCCCGTGCTTCCCGCCCCTGAGGCCCCTGCCCTTCCCTGCTCTCCATCCCTCAGCCACGTGGCCCCGCCCCTTCCCTGCTTCCCGCCCCCGAGGCACCGCGCCCTTTTCGCGCTTCCGGGCCCTGAGGCGCCATGCCGTCCTCCGCTTCCCGCCCCCGCAGCCTCCGTCCTGAGGTCCGGTGTCTTTCTCGTGCTTCCTGCCCCTGAGGCCCCTCCACCCCTGATTCCCCGGGGCTCCGCCCTTCTCGCGCTTCCCGCCCCCAGGCCCTGAGGCCCGGCGTCTTTCCCGCTCCTGAGGCCCCGCCTCCTTCTCGTGTTCTCCCGCCCTGAGGCCCCATCCCTTTCCAGGCTTCCTTCCCCTAGTCGCAAGGCCCAGCCCCCGAGGCCCGGCGCCCTTCCCGTGTTTCCCGCCCCTGAGGCCCTGTGCCCTTCCCTGCTCCGGCCCCAGCCGCGTGGCCCCGCCCGAGGCCCCGCCCCTTCCTGTGCTCCCTTCTCCTGAGGCCCCGCCCTCTACCGGTGCTCCCCTCCCGTCGCGTGGCCCCGCCCCTTCCCGTGCGCCCCGCCCCCGGACCCCAGCCTCCGGGCCACCCTGGCCGCGGCGCTCCGTCAGGGAAGAGCTGGGCCCTAAAGCCCGCGCTTCGCGCCTCTCTCCAGTCCCAGGTCCCTCCCTGGCGCCCGGAGCGCCCTCGGCGGCTTCTTTTCCTCAGCCGCCCGAAGGAGGACCTGGTAAGCGCGGCGCTGAGCCCGACTGGGCTCCAGGGTGGGGACGGGGAAGCGGGCAGCGCCAGGGGGCTGCGGCGGGGCGTGCGCGGAGGGCAAGTGAACCTGGGCGGGGGGCCACGGCTGGAGGGCCCGAGCCGGAGGAGAGCAGAAGACGGGGAGGGTCCGAGGGGGTCCTGGGGGCCGGGGACGCCTGGGCTGGACCCGGGAAAGAGGAGCGCGAAGCCCGAACTGGGGGGCGGCGGGGCTGCCCCTCGGGGGTCCTGGGGCGCTCCCCGCGCCGCGGCGTCGGGACTGGGCGGCTCCACCTGCAAAACCTGGGCGCTCGGTGGCCTGGAGTCCGTGCGGCTGTCCTGCGCCGACACCCCCGCAGCCCCCCGAAGTCGCCTAGGACCCCGGGGACGTTCGCTGGAGGTCCCAGCTCATCCCCGGGGCTGGCTGAGCAAACTGCCCCACGTGGGCTCCGCGAGAGCTCCGCGAACCCATCTGTCCCCACCACCCTCGTCAGGGTTCCCCAGGTGCCTCCAGCCAGGAGAGAGGCTGCCTTCGAAACCCAGCACTTGAGAAATCCTTTAAACCTGGTTCTCAGATGACTTCCCCGATGTCCCCAACCTGCTCTTGGGAGTCTTCCGTCCCTATCAGGCCTCCCGACGATTCTGAGGCTGCCTGCCATATCTGAGACATCTCTGATCTGCAGCACTGGAGCTTGGAGGAGAGTGAACCCGGAGTAGGGACAGGCCAGGTCCCCTGTGATGAAAGTACAGGCGTCCTCCCTTGTGCCCCAGGAAGCCCTCCACCCATAGGTGGTTGAAACATAAAGTACCAAGCCCCGTATACACTGTGCTTTTTCTTACTTGCCCATGATGAAGTCTAGTTTATGAACTAGACACAGTAAGAGGTTAATAACTACTCATAAAACAGCACAATGATAACAGAATAGGTATTTAAAATTGCCAGGGTCGCTGCGCTTGTAGTTTGGAGCCATTCGTAAATAAGATAATGGTTAATTGAACACAAGTTCTGCCACACCTTGACAGATGCTGAGATGGCTACTAAGTGAGTAACGGACAGGTAGCATATACACTGTGGACACGCTGCACAAAGAAAAGGTTCACGTTGTAGCGGGGGCAGAACTGGGGGGGAGTTCACCATTGCCATTCAGAATGGAACTTATCACCAAGCTCAGGAACTGTTTTTGAAAACTTCCGTTTAAAAATTTCAGACTGTAGTTGGTCACAGGTAAAGGAAACCTCAAAAAGTGAAACTAGGGTTGAAGGGGGACTGTTGTCCTCCGTTTTGGGTTGCAAAACCTGGGCCTGCCTGGTGTAGTCCAGGATGTCCCTGCCCCCTGGACCTGGGTGGATGCTAGTCTGTGAGGTGCTAGGACCCATCACCCCCAAGAGGGATGTGTGGAATGGGCGCCCAGAGGTCCATGTTTGAGGCCAGCCTCACTGGGTAAATCAGACACTTCTGGATACCAATGGCCTTCTGGATACCTGGGTCTGACATCCTTGGGGGTTAGGGGAACTGGACTCGGACCCCTGACCGTAAAGCGCCCTCTTCCCGTCCTTTAGAGCCCAGTATGTTAAATTATTATTATCCTCTTGTTGCTCACAGTAACTGAGCAGGCATGTCACCCCTAATCTGCACTCTTGACCTCTGTGCTAATGCTCAGTGACACCCCAGCACTCTCAAGGAAGTCCAGAGGCCTCTGACCACCATCTGCAGTGATATGAGGTCCGTGCTATTTGGCCACAGTGTCCCCACTCAGTACAGATCCCAGGTGACTTCCCTTGCTCCCCAGTGTTCACCCTGGCTCAGATCTTTCTGTGGGCACAGGTGAGGACCGTGAGACCTCCGTGGTTACTGCCAGGTGGCCTTTGGCAGAGATGGACCCCCCCCACCCCCATAGCGGGTGTGCCCACCCTTCTGGCGACCTCGGTTTTGGAGCCCCCTGGTGGTGAGGCGAGGTGCTGCATGTGGGTTTTAATTGCTGCCCACTCAGGGGGCTCCTGGGCCCGACCTTCCCTAGTTTCTCCATTGTTTTCTGGGTCCCTTGTTGGTTTACAGGAATTCCTCCTCTTCCCTATTTTCACTGTTATCCTTTGTCTATTTTATTGTGATTTTTCATTTGGGGGGATTGGGCCCAGGCCTCCCACTGGCTCAGCAAAGCCCGGCCTCCTGACTTCTTGTGTTGGTTTTAAATATTTTCTCCTGTATTTGCCTCATTCAGTTTTGTTCCTTATTTATGTGTTCAGCAGTCCTGGGGGGGGCGGCCCGCACTCAGGCTGCCAGGCAGGCGCCCCACCCTGGGCTCAGCCCCAGTCCCCAGGAGTTTCAATTTTGTGTAGAAGTGTCCGTCCCCTGAGGTATTCAAACTTTGATGCTGTTGAATTGATCTCTCTCTCTCTCTCTCTCTCTGCTTCTGCTCTGTGGTGTGTGTGTGTGGCCTACACCTTGGAGTTGGACTCCTGGTTTAGAATCAAAACCTGTCCACCTCCCTGGCTGCTTAGGACCTGCCCTGCAGTTCCCTGCCCTGCCAGCAGAGGGAGCTGGAGAAGGCACCCCCCCCCATTCCTGGCCCCAAGACTGCTCTGCGACCCTGCACAGGGAGGCCTTCTTCCTACAGAGCTTTTCATGACAAAATTCAGCACTGTAATTAATGGTCACTGACAGCATTTTAAGACATCTGAGCACCTGCTTTCCTCAGACCGGCTACGCACCATTTATTTACACAGCTAATAAACCTTTCGTGTCCTGCAGATGCCCCATTTAAGCCTCCTGTTTGTCATTTTGCTGTGAAGGCTGCTTTCATTTTCCCCAGACATTTAAACATTGCTTGCTTACCCGTAGACCAAAGTGTCTTAAATCTGATTAGGACCATAAATTAATATGTGATTCCTGCTGCGTTCTCAGTGTGCACACGGTAATCACAGTGTTCCACTGACCTGGTTCCCTTAGGCTAAAAATGGTCAGAAAAACCCCAATTTGATGGGTAGGAATGTGTGTCCAGTTGGCCTCCGTGTCCACTGGGTTCCTTACTTATGAGTTCAACAAACGTCAAGTCAGAAGTATTTTTTAGTTGCATCTGCTGAACACATACTGACATTTTTCTTTATTATCTAAACACTACTATATAATAAACTATGTAGCATTGGCAAATTTTTTGTGGGGGGTACCTGGTACTTGAACTCGAGTGCTTGACCACAGAGCCCCATCTCCAGCCCTATTTTGCATTTTATTTAGAGACAGGGTCTCACTGAGTTGCTTAGCGCCTTGCCATGGCTGAGGCTGGCCTCCAACTTGGGATCCTCCTGCCTCAGCCTCCCAAACCACTGGGATGACAGGCGGGCACACATGCCCAGTTCAGGATTTTGATAGCCACAGGGGGTCCTGGAACCCAGTGCCTACAGGTTCCAAGGACCACCCTATCCACTATTGCCAACAAATCCTTGTTGTTGTTTTCCATGATTTTCTTAATTTCGCTATATCTTTGCGTCTTTTTACTATCTCAGGAATCTCACCACAAATTTAAGAGCAAAGAGAGGAAGGCGGTCGCGGTCTCAGAGCAGCGGAGGTTGCAGGATCTAGTTGTCTGCCAGTTGGTTCTGGGTTGGGGACTGGAACGTGGCCCTGGGTCCAGGGGCTTCCGGCCAAGGCTGCGTGGTCGCACTTGGTGTCTGTGCCCACAGCCTTGGGTTTGTTCTGAGAGACCTGGTTCCTTTGATCACCTTGGAGGCTGGAGTCGTTCCCAGGGGTGGGGAGCGCATTGCTGGTGGCATCTGCCTCCTAGTCCTGACCTAGTTTTTTAGTTTTTTTGGAATTCCTTTGCCTCTCACCCGAATCTCAGTAACTGTACTCAGCACAAGCTCTGGGGTCATCCAAAGGTGGCCTTCTTAGGGGGTCACAGCACGTTGCCAGGCCCTCAGCCTCCCCTGAGGACTGCTGCTGGATCTATGTGGCCCTGTGTGACAGGCCCCGTCCCCTGGCTCCCACTCACTCGCCCTTTGTCCCTGACACTTTTCACCAGGATAGAACCCAGGGGTGCCCGTGTGGTGGCAGGTCACCCAGAAAACACACCAAGGCTCAGTGTCATCCAAACTGAAGGGTCCTGATCCCAACCGCTTGCTTGGGACCAGGTGTCCCACGGGAACATCGCTGCCCACGTGATGTGGAGTCTGGTGTACGGTGGACTTTGGTCACTGTCCCTACAGCCTGGCTCATGGCAGTTAACCCCTGAGCCCCTGTCCCCAGCCCTTTTTACATTTTATTTAGAGACAGGGTCTCGCTGAGTTGCTTAGGGCCGCATTCAGTTGCTGAGGCTGGCCTCCAACTTGCGATCCTCCTGCCTCAGCCTCCTGAGCTGCTGGGATGGCAGGTGTGTGCCAGGGCTCCAGGCCCCAGCCTGATTTTCTGGTTGCTTTTAAGGTGGGCATTTTGGGGGACTGCCCCCTTCACATCTGCCGACTTCACGGGTGTGTGGTGCTCTTCCACGGGTGTCTGATCTCACGCGATCTGAAGTCCGCTGCTGTAGGTGGGGGTGCGGGGCCACGTGGGGGCTGTAGGTGTGACACAGGGCCTCTGCCAGGGCCCGGGGCGGGGCCTGCCCACACCTCTCCTTGTGTCTCCAGGTTGGAGCTTTGGGCCGGCTGCACAGATGGAAGCCTTGGAGCCCAGGCCGCGGAGGCTGGGAGGCTGTGGCAGGCTCGAGGAGCTGAAGGTGTCGCCCGCCCTCAGCACAGGGAGCCTCCCTGCCGCCTCTGGAGATGGGCACCTCGGGGTCCCTGACGGCCAGCGGGTGCCCTCTAGGCCCCAGGAGGCCGCGCCCACCAGGGAGACGGCCCTGACCATCTGCCTGCAGGTGACCCTGCCCTTTGTCCTCGCGGGCCTGGGGCTGTCCTGGGCTGGCGTGCTGCTGCACTACTTCCAGGTAAGAAAGAGGGCACAGGCCGGGCCTTGGCCTAGGGTCCTGCCTGCAGGACAGGGGCCACCTCCACCCCGGCCAGATTCCTTTAGGTCTAGTGACAAGGACTCTGTGTGACCCGAGTAGCACTTCAGAGGACAGTTGGGGAGTGGCACAGGTCAGTCGACCCAGTGACGCAGGAGGCCGAGGCCAGAGCACAGCGAGCAACATGGTGGTGCTGAGTCTCAGGATTCTTCTTTTTGGTACCCGGGATTGAACCCAGGGGCACTTACCCACTGAGCCCCGTCCCCAGCCCTTGGCATGTCTTATTCAGAGACAGGGTCTCCCTGAGTTGCTTGGGGCCTCACTAAGCTGCTGAGGCTGGCCTCCAACTTGCGATCCTCCTGCCTTGGCCTCCTGAGCTGCTGGGATGACAGGTGTGGGCCATTGTGCATATGGGCATTTATTTCACAGAATTTAAAAATAAATAAATAAATAAAAGCCAGGCACAGTGGGTCACGGCAGTCACAGTGACTCACACCTGTCATTCCAGTGGCTGGGGAGGTTAAGGCAGGAGGATCGTGAGTTCGAAGCCAGCCTCAGTAAAAAGGGAGGCCTTAAGCAAGTCAGTGAGACCCTGTCTCGAACTAAGAGACAAACAGGGCTGGGGAGGGGGCCCAGGGGTCAAGTGCCCCAAGTTCAATCTCCGGAGCCACAAAAATAAACAAAGATCAACTAAATGAAACAGGGCACCCGTTAAAGACGGCGGTGACCACACGTGATTTCGCCTCTTGGTCGAGGCCTGGTTCTTGTGCAGATGGGTCAGAAACCCACGGCCTGTGTCCCTCGGGTTCTGTGTGACGGGCCACCTGGGCTGCAGGAGCCACCACAGAGTGGGCAGTGAGGGCGAGGTGTTGTCTGGGACTTCAGAGACTGGACGTCCAGGGTCGAGGTGTGGCCCTGAGGCCTCCTCCTGCAGTGGCTGTCGTCCTCTGTGTCCGGATGGTGTCTCCCCCGTCCCTCTCTGGGTCTTAGTCTGAGGACACCAATCATGTGGGGAGAAGGGAGAAATGGTGGGGGACCCTGGTGTTGGTTGAACCCAGGGGGCTCGACTGAGTTACATCCCCAACCCAACCCCCTCTTTTTTTTTTTTTTTTGATATGGGGCCTCACTGAGTTGCTGAGGCCGGCCTCCAACTTGTGATCCTCCTGCCTTAGCCTCCCGAGTCACAGGGGTGACAGGTGTGCATCCCTGGCACCATTCGAGGAGCTGAAGGTGTCGCCCGCCCTCAGCACAGGGAGCACAGCGATTTCTTGGCACCAGACCCCTGATCTGGAGCAGCCAGGGAAGTGGCATCAGGAGCAGGAGGGAGGGACGTGAGACGGTGGTGACTGGCTAGCCGCCCAGGCCCAGCAAGCCCAGTGCCTGGCCCTGATAAGGGGGGTGTGACCAGGGACCTTATCCCCGGGAGCAGAGCTGGGAGGGGACCTGCCCTTCACGTCCCTCCTTTCTCCAGGCAGCACAGGACCCCCTCAGGCCTCCCACAGAGTGGACACTGACGTCCTCACACCAATGCTCGCAGGGAACGGGGGACACGCTTCCCCAACCCACCAAGCAGGCCCTGGCCAGGGAGGAGAGGGCCACAGGCGGACCTGAGAGGTCCCTGCAGGCCTGAGTGCGGGGTGGGCGTCTCCCCGGAGCGCAGGACTCCCCGAGTCACTGGCCTGTGGCACTGGTGACACCCGGAGGTCCACATGTCCCCTGTGACCTAGGTAGGGGCTCGGAGCACCCCCTAATTGAGGCAGACGCGCAGGGGGCCTACAGCTCTGTGGGCCGCCCTCCTCCAGGGCCACCGTGGGACGTCCCAGCTTGGCTCAGTCGGTCCTGCCTGGGCTCAGGAGGCTGGAGTGACCTGCGAGGCTGGGTGGCCGTGGAGGGGAGAGTGGAGACCTTGGTTTCTGTTGCCTGATGGTGAGGCGGGCAACTGTGCCCTGGCCTGGGAGCTTATAAAGTAGTGCCCACTGGCCCGTGTCCCCACTAGGATGACCACCTTGAGTTTGGTCCCTTGTGCACCCCTTGGATGGGTGGTATTCTTTATCGGGAACCCTCCAATAAGAGACAGGAGCTAGCAACCTTCAAGTCCTGTCACTCTCACGCAGCACATCTACAAAATAGTAAGTCCAGGCGGGCACAGGGGCACTCACCTGTCATCCCAGTGGCTCTGGAGGCTGAGGCAGGAGGATCGCAATTTAGAGGCCAGCCTCAGCAACTTAGCGAGGCCCTAAGCAGCTCAGGGAGACCCTGTCTCTAAATGAAATACAAAAAGGGCTGGGACGTGGCTCAGGGGTCAGCGCCCCTGGGGTCAGCCCCTAGTGCCAACAGCAACAGCAGCAGGTTGTCCTTTATGCAGGGAGAACTGCGTCAGGGTGAGGAGACCCCCCTGGGGGGACAGCGCGGCATGGGGCACCAGGCTCCTGCTGGCCGGCAGTGGGCAGCTCCAGCCCAGGGGCCTTGGCTTTACCAGGAACCCGTTGGTCAGCAAAGAGCATTTAGTCAGAGCTGACGGGTGTTCTGGGTCATGGTTGGGTCACCTTTTCATGATGACAATTGTTCTGGTCACCTCCTTCCACCCCACTGGGCAGGGTGGGAGGGCCGCCTGGGGGAGGGTGCACCAGGGGTGACGGGGACAGCAGTTACGTGTCCCCCACACGGCCTGGCGGGGAACATTCTGTGCCATTCAGGGAGGCCACACCCGGGAGCAGAGTGGGCACAGGGTGCGGAGGCCGGTGAGGGAGCAGGTGGGGGACCTGGTTCCTGGGGTGGGAGTAGCTTGTTCGAATGACTCCAAGGTCTGCCGGGAACTGAGGGCTGGAACTCATACAAGAGGCAAAGAGCATGGTGTCCACGGGAACAGGACGGGGAGGACTAGAAGCCCTGTGTGTCCCCCGATGTTGGGACAGCAGAGCATCACGGTCACGTTCAGTCGGGCGCAGTGGCCCACACCTGTCATTCCAGCTGCTGGGGAGGCTGAGGCAGGAGGATCGTGAGTTGGAGGCCAGCCTCAGCAGCTCAGTGAGACCCTGTCTCTAAATACAAAAGGGGCTGGGGTGTGGCTAGGGGACGAGCACCCAGGGTTCAACCCCAGAACAGAAAAGAGTGGCCACCTGCCTCGGGACCTGCCCGGGTCAAGGTGACCCTGAGAGAGGGACCGGGTGTCCAGCAGTTCTTGCTGCGGAGTCCATGAAGTGTGTTCTAGTTGTGAGGCGCTCCAAGGACCCTCCCCTAAAATGCACCCCCGCAGGCCCCGGGCCGGGGTAGTCTGTGGTCCTGTTGCCCAGCCCAGCCCTCAGGATTCTCTTCTGTCCCCTCTGGGGGTTTGTCCCTCCCCTTTCAGTGCTGGACATTGAACCTAGGGCTTAGGGTAAGCTCAGCAGGGTTCCTGCCACCAAGTCACACCCAGCCCTCCTCAGGGGCAGGACTGCGGGTGGGCTGGAGGCCCCGAGGGGGACAGGGCTTCTCTAGGGTCACCCAGGAAAACGCCCTCTGCTGCCCCTGCACAGCCCGGCGTCCACCCCCGCCGAGTCTCCCTGAGCCCTACAAACTAAAATCCCCTTCTCGAGCCTCTGGGCCGGGACCCAGTGGGCCACGCTGAACCCTGATGTTCTCAAGGGTCTCAGGACAGTAGGGGTTTCCCCCTCACGAGATCAAGGTTTTTCATTTGTTTCTGGTGACAGTTGATTTCATGGTTATAAAAGCAGGTGACCGCCTTGGGCTTGGCAGTATAGGCCTCTAATCCCGGAGGCTGGGAGGCTGGGGCCGGAGGATCACAGTCCAAGGCAGCCTCAGCAAGTTAGTGAGGCCTTACCTCTAAAGAAAAGGTAAGTAGGGCTGGGGCCAGGGCTCAGTGGGCGAGGGCCCCTGGGCCCAAGCCCTGGTGCCCCAAAATAAGAAAGCAAGCCATCTTGTCACGTTGCAGGGACAATGACCAGAGTCGCTTACAGTCCTACCCATGCAGCCAGAGAGCGCCACCTGACCACGTGGTTCCTGTCCTTCTGGACTTTTCTGTGCATGTGAGAGCCGTGGACGGGCCGTGTCCCCAGGCCCAGGGGCAGGTCTGCGGGATGCAGAAGGCGGCCCTGAGCATTGTGGGATAGGAGCTCCCAGGCTGCGCTGAGAGGCCACGGGACAGGGACGGGCCTGGGGACTTGGGGCCAGTAGGAGGTGCAGAGCGGGTCCCCAGGAAGTTCCTTCGGGGGCTCATGGCAGGTGGGTGCGTCTCTCCAGATGGTGGAGCGCTCTGTCGCCCTTTCCCAGGGAAGGAGGGGGCAGCCGGGGGACGGGGGACAGCCACCTCCTGGGCACCCTGTTCACACAGAGAGTAGGCTCTGTGTGGAGGAGACAGCACGGCCACGGGTCACGGCAAAGGTGCTGTGTGGTTTGCAGCTGGCCCGGGTAAGGGACATGGATCCAGCTAGGGGTGGTCACCATTGGGTTGGAGCAGGTCCCCTCTGCAGCAGGACGCTGGTGAGAAGTGGGCAGGGCCCAGCTGTCCCCAGCACCCGCTTTGTGCTAGTGATCGGTGGGAGGCTGCCCTGGTCAGCACGGGTCTCTGCTGTGGCCCCGGAGCCCGTCCTTCTGCCCTGCGCAGCTCCTGCAGGGTGACAAGCAGGTGCCCATCTGGCTCCCAGGGTGGCGGGCGCAGGGCTAGGGGGCACGCAGGGGAGTGGCCGGCTGCCCGCGAGCCCGGGACCCCAGGTCAGGAGGCTGTGTCCAGCCCCCAGCCCAGGGCTGCTGCAGGCTGAGGCCTCTGAGTGAGACCCGACCGGCCTCTGCTCCTGGGGCCCGAGGAACATGCAGGGGACACGTCCACCCACAGGAGGCGGGGCTTCCCCGGGTGGCCCTTCTATCCTGCTGGGTCAGGGGCACAGGGCAGGGCCTGGCCCCGCTAGTGGGAGAAAGCGAGGTCACCTTGACACGTCACCTGGGCTTTCCAGAGAGAGCCGGGATGCTGTGGCCGTGGGCCCCTGGACACTGCCATCGAGTGACCCCAGGACATGGCGTCCTTCCTGGAGGCCCATAGAGTCCTTGGCCTTGACCTGCAGGGGCCCTGGGCTGCCTGGGAGGTGGGCTGTGGACCGAGGTCTCCGCAGGCCCTTCCCTGCCGAGGGTGGGGCCACCGGGGCACGTGGTGGAGGGAGGTGGCGAGGGACACCAAGGCCAGCCCCACATGGGCTCTCTGTCCACTCCGCCAGCGTGGGCTGAGCCCCTGGACACTATCAAGGTCGCCGCCAAGGGACGGGGAGCCTCCCTGGCAGGCTGGCCGAGGGAGGTCCCAGCTGACCCTAAGCCACTCTCCGAGGGCGACCTGACCGGCAGGGAGTGGACAGCCGGCGCTGGCGGTCCCCAGAACGAGGCTCGCTGTCGCAGTGGCCTTTGTTCCTTGCTCCTGGGCTCTGTCCTTGGCCCAGGGCCTGCTGGGAGCCTTCTGAGGCTCGGGCCGCTGACCCTCCCGGAGGCCTCTGCGCCTGGACTTCTGGGGACAAGCGTCCTGCTGTGGAGCAAGAGGAGCTGACGGAGGCGCCCGGGCATGTGGCCAGCGCCTGGCCATGGTGGTCACCGAGCTGAACCTGGAGTTCCGCTTCCAGGGCCAGAAGCTGCGAGGCTTCAGCTGTGAGCTCACACGGTCCCCCCACGGGGTGTCCCTCGAGACCCCTCTCTCCACGACGTGCCAGGTCACCGTGCCCATCCTGCTGTCGGGCCTGGGCATGATGGCCGCGGGCCTGGTGATGAACGCCGTCCAGGTGTGTGCAGGGCGCCGGGAGGGCGTGTGCTCGGACCTGGGCGTCGGGGGGTCCCCTGGGCACCGAGCGTCTGCGCACTGAAGCGTCACTCGGATGTCCCTCCCCAGGCTTGGCCGGCGCAGCCTGTCTGCGGGAGCTCGGCTCCCGTCCTGACACGGGCAGGGCCTGCCTCGGACCTCTCTGCCTCAGTTTCCCCATCTGTAAAGTGGGCCGATGGCAGCACCCACCTTGCTGAGAGCCGGGAGCCTGGGAGCCTGTGCCCTTGTCCTGTGGAGCCGGGTCACTGGCACGGCCGCCCCTCGAGCAGAGCTGAGGGGACTCACTCTCCAGGGTCCCTGGGGGCCCAGGGAGGGCCAGGCGGGCAGGGTCTGGGGTCTGCACCTGCACCTCAAGGTCTGTGTGTCCTGAGTGTGATGTGGGTGACGTTATTTGGAGCAGTGAGGGGTGTCTGCTGCCTGCTGTGACATCCTCGTGGTGCGACTGCTGGGCTAGGGAACCTAGAGAGGGGCCGGCGCAGGCCTGTCGTCCAGCTGCTCGGGAGGCTGGACGTGGGGTGCTGCCCACGGCTTCATGGAGGCTGCTCCCTGATCCTTTGGGGTCCCACATTCAGAGGTGAGGTGGCCTGGGGACTTGCCTGCCCCTCGCCAGCCCAGAGACAGGGACACGAGGCAGCCACCACCAAGGAGATGCCGTCACACTTAGGAATGGGATGCTGCCGGAGTGTCGGGGTGGGTGGCCCATGAAGTCCCATGTGACAGGAAACACCGGTGTCCGGGCCAGTGTGCGGCTCTGTGGCTCTGCGGGCCAGCGTGCTCAGAGCCCCAGGCCCACCCCAGCGCCACACACGTGCAGATGAAGAAAATAAACAGAAAGCACCGTCAGGAGTGCATCCCCACACGCCTGGACACGCACACATGCACGCACACGCACACGCACACGCACAGTCTGGGTGTACAGGAAAGCGCTGACCGGAGATCTCATGGACCCTCCATCTCATCTGATTCCTAGCTTTTCTTTTTTTGGTGCCAGGGATGGAGCCCAGGGGCCTTTAACCCCTGCGCCCGTCCCCAGACCTCATTACATTTTATTTAGAGACAGGGCCTCGCTGAGCTGCTCAGGGCCTTAGCTGAGGCCAGCCTCCAACTTGCCATCCTCCTGCCTCAGCCTCCCGAGCTGTTGGGATGACAGGGGTGTGCCCTGTGCCCAGCTGCCTCTGACTTCTGATGCCGTGATCCACGAGCAGTGTCCTCCTGTGTATTTGGGGACCATGTGAGGACCTGTAGTTTGGGCACCTGCTTGGGTGTGGATTTGCCAGTGATGGTTGTAAGTGGCTGAGTGACAGTCACATCAGTGTGACTAAAGTCTGTCCTAGGAGCAGTATCAAAGATGCCCTGGAGGGTGAGGTTGGGGACAGCGAGGAAGATCAGGGTAGTCATGGCCAAGGCTCAGCCACCCCCGCCCCATGTGGCAGAAGCAGCATTGTGACCCGTCCCCAGGTGACAGGGACAGAGGCCTAGGTGTTGCTGACAGTCTGAGTGACAGGTTTGGGACGAGGAGGGGTCGAGACAGGAAAGATGGCCAGAGGGGGGCCTCTGTAGGGAGGCAGGGGTGTGGAGGACAGAGCCTGCAGGACACCCAGCGAGCACTCCGCAGGGGGTGCACAGGGGTGACGCTCGGGACTGGTCACCTCCCCTGCGCAGGCCCTCAGTGCCGGTCACTGGACTTGTCCCTGCTGCCCGTGACAGGAAACCTACCTCAGGGTCTGTGCAGACGTGGCCTCACGTGTGGGCAAGCCCTAGGCCGTGGCAGTCTCGCGGGAGGGGGCAGGGTGAGCCAGCCGGCCACCCCAGGACGCATGTGAGGGACTCTGTGTTCTGTGTCACGGGAGCTCAGGGCTGCTGCTGCCGGGAATACAGGGAGGCAGGGACCGTGCTGATAAGGGCTTCAGCCTTTGCCCGGTGACATTGTTTTCTTCTGGGGACAAGCAGCTTGGGGCCTCTGTGACCTGGATGCTGGAGTGCCCGCTGTGCGGGGGTCAGGTCTGAGGGCACGAAGGGGTGCACACCTGTCATCCCGCCCCTCTGGAGGCTGAGGCAGGAGGATCACAAGTCAGAGGCCAGCCTCGGAACTCAGTGAGGCCCTGTCTCACTTGGCTCCGTGGTCCAGACCCTGGGTCGAGTCCTGGTGAGAGCAGGAAGGAGTCCCCCGCAGTATGGCGACTCCATTTCCCCCGGTTGTGTTGGTGCGGTGACTGGACACGGTGGTCTGTGTGACTGTGGCACTTGGTGACACCTGGTGCATGCACGTGACCTGCTGGGGCCACTCCCAGGCCAGGCCCCCGTCCTCCCTTCTGTTTCCCCCTCCCCCATATAACTTCCCCAGTTTCCACCTGTGAGGGGGAACCTGACCAGGGGGCGTCTCCCGGGACCCCCAGAGGACAACCAGGGCGGCTTGGAGACGGCGCCTGCGCCCCCTAGAGGTGAGGTGGGTGGGCGCATCTCCACCAGGGACAGGAAGGAGAGCTGGGCGTCCTGCGTCCTCAAAGGCGCAGTGGGTCGTCCTTAGGCCTAGAATCCCGAAACCAGGGGGACTTCTGTGTCAGGGTCACAGGCAGCTGCAGAGGCCAGGCTGGTAGAGGAGGCTGTGAGACCCGGAGGGTGTCGAGATCGGTTCCAGGGAGCAACCTAATTGCACGTTAAGGAGGGAAGAGTCGTTTTCCTCTCTGCAAACAATCTTTTTCTTCCAGTTTTCTCAAAATGTGTATCCCTTTCTTCCTTTCTTAGTTTGTGTGTCTGTGTGTGTGTGTGTGTGTGAGAGAGACACACACACACACACACACACACCACGGATTGAACCCAGGGGGGCTTGACCACTGACCACACCCCAGACCTTTTTATATTTTGAGACAGGTTCTCACGAAGTCGCTGAGGCTGGCCTCTAACGTGTGATCCTCCTGCCTCAGCCTCCCCAGCCACTGGGATGACAGGCGTGGGCCACTGCACCTGGCTTGTGTGAATTTGTCAATGTTTGCTGAGGTGGCGTCTCCGTCAAGCAGATGCTTTGAAACATTCAAGGTCTGCAGACCTGTGATCCCAGATCCCTGGGAGGCTGAGATGAAGGATCACAAGTTGGAGGCCGGCCTCAGCACAGGGCTGGGCGTGTGGCTCAGCGGTGGAGCACCCCTGGGTTCAACCCCCCAAAAGTCAAAGGCCCAGCTTGGAGCTGGACAGTGACAGACGCAGACTCGCTGCCCAGGAGCAGAGGGCGCCAGGGCCTCTGTACCCGTGGGAGGGGAGTCGCTGCCCCACAGCAGCTGGCTGGGCAGATGTGACCGGGACCCTGTCACTTTGAAATCAAAGACTGCATAATTTCTGCACTGATTTCCTACTAGGCGAGCTGGGTCCTGGGCCTGTCCCCTGCCCTGTCCCCTGCCCTGCCTGCTACAGGTCGGAGAGGGGGGCCCAGGCCCACTGGTGCTGTCACTGAGACAGCAGTGACCCCAGCCCCACTGACCTGGTGCTGAGTTCAAAGCCACCGGAGGCGTCGCTTGCCTGGTGGCTTCTGTGGGGACCAGGAAGTCCCCGCCACAGGCTCTCGGGGGACGTCTGCGGAGACGCCAGGCGGGCACTTGACCCCCTCCCCGCCCTCTTGCAGCACTGGCCCGTGTTCCTGGAGGTGAAGGACCTGTTGACGTTGGTGCCACCCCTCGTGGGGCTGAAGGGGAACCTGGAAATGACACTGGCCTCGCGGCTCTCCACCGCCGTAAGTTGACGGGTGACCAGGAGCCCGGCTCAGGGACGGCGCTCCCACCACTGGTTTCCCCGAGTGGCTTGTGGGAGGGCCGGCGCCTCCAAAGAGAGGAGTGGGGTGAGGTTCCGTCGTCCCACACGCTGCCAGGGGTTTCTTGGGGACACAGAGGGACACCCAAAGCAGGAGAGGAGGAGACTGTGTGTGGGGACAGCGGGAGGGGGGACGCCAGGCGGAGAGGCCTTGAGGGAACCCGCTCTGTGGCAGGACAGGTGGAGCGGGGTCCTGGCCTGGCCGCGGGGGTCTGCTCTGGCCTCTGGGCCTGCGAGGACTTCAGGCCACCAAGCGGCAGACTGACCCCCAGGGCAGATCAGGTCACCCCTGGGGAACAGTGGGCAGCGTCTCCCACGGCCAGGGACGCGGTGGAGATGGCCACCTGCGAACATGGACGCTTGTGATTGTCCTGGTCCAGACTTAGGAGAAAGACCCAGGGCCACTTAGCCACCGAGTTGAATTTGAGACAGGGTCTCGCTCAGTGGCTGAGGCTGGCCTCGCGCTCGCAGTCCTCCTGCCTCAGCCTCCTGAGCCGCTGGGATGGTGGTGTGCGCCCCTGCCCCACCTGCCTGTGTGATTCCCAGCCAAGCCCGGGGTCTGACGCTGGCCCTGTACAGGACCTCCTGACGGCAGGTCACCTTAAGTAGCGGGACCAGTGTAAAATCCAGGTGGGACAGATGGCACCTCAGTTAAATTGGAAGCCACATGTGACTCCGATTCCTTTGCTAGGGCTGCCAGAATCACAACCTGCTGCCTCCAACGACGGGACAGACCGTCCCCTGGGTCTGGAGGCGGCAAGTGTGAGACCCTGGGCCCCCTCTCCTGGCTTCTGGCCGTTGGGGACACTCCTTGGCCCACTAGGCCATCACCTGATCTCTGCCTGGTCTTCAGGTGGTGTTCTGGGTGAGGGTCCAAACCCTGGTCACAGGGTGAGCCGTCTGGACTCACCCTGATCCAGGGCGTCTGCAGGGACCCTGTTCCCACATAGGCCACTGCCCAGGTGCTGCCTCACGGCTGCGGCACCGTGTTAGGGACCCAGTGGCAGCCATCAGTGTTTTCTGGAATAAATTCAAGAGGGGAAAGTGGGTGTGAGACTCAATCAGGTGCGGCTGGCTCAGGGCGCCTCCTGAAAACACAGGTCAACAAAGGTCAGCTGCCCACCTGTGGCCTCGAGGGACGGCGTCCTCCATGGGCACCCCATGGCTTCTGTGCCAGCCCATGCCAGGCCCGGAAGAGTGGAGGAGCCGAGGGTCACGTAGACAGGAGTGCAGGGCCACACGGTCACCCGGTCCCCACCGAGACTCCGGAAGCCTACTGTGGAGTCACCCGTCAGATGGGTGCCAGTGACCGTGAGCGTGGCCACTACGGGTGACACTGGGGACATGAGGTCTGAGCACTGAGGTGGCGGGCACTGTCTCCTGGCCCTACACGTTGGTGGCTGGAGGGACTCTGGGTGCGGCCACCCTACTGGGGGTTCTGGGAAAGGTGTCCCCAAGAGACGTGCCGAGCCCGGCGCAGGGTGGTCCTGGTCCCCAACTTGTGCTCTGAATCACTGGGTCAGACCCTCAGAAGCAGGAAGTGGGCGGTTGGCGTGCAGACCTGTCCCCACACGAAGGCCCTGCGCAGCCCGGTCCACGCCCCCGGACGCTGTCCAGCTGACCTGGGGTGCTGCAGCCGGGGACCCTCCACGTGGACTTGTGTGCTTGTCCTGAGCTCCCCATGACGGCAGCGTGTGTCCTGCCACGTGCCACCTACACGGTGTGACATCCCACTCCTGTGGCTGGACCTGCTGTGGGGGGTCCCTACGTGAACATGGGAAGGTGACGTCCCCTTCACCCCCCTGTGTCTCATCCAGTGAAGTGCCATCCCCCCCCTTGGGTCAGCATCCACGTATCAGAGAGGACACTTGGCCTTTGGTTTGGAACCTGCCTCATTTTGCTTAGCATGACAGTCCCCAGCTCTGTCCTTTTACCCACAAATGCCATCATTTCACTCTTCTTTCTGGCTGAGTAATATTCCACTGTGTACAAGCACCGCGTCTCCTTGTTGTTCATCTCCTAAGGGCCCCTGAGTTGAGCTGCGGTAGGAGTGACGTGGCCGCGTCACCGCAGAGCACAGGTTTGAAGTCCCATGGGGCGTGTTGACTTATTTAACTCAGCCGTCCGTCCCTGGCGTCCCTCTCACGTCTCCTGGGTGGATTTGTGCATCTCTTTTCTCAGATCCCTGCAGTTTGTGGCCATTAGTCCTTCAGACGAGCCCCTTCCTGTCTCTGCCCTCTGCTGTCCCCATCCCACCCCCGTCCTCCCCAGCTGCAGCCCGGGCTTTGCCCTCCCCTGCTTCTTCCTGCTGGTTCCATGGGGACCCCGAGTGGAACCATTTGCTCTGCACTGAGGACGGGCGCAGTGGCCTGTCACCCCAGCAGCTCTGGAGGCTGAGGCAGGAGGACTGAAGTTGGAGGCCAGCCTCAGCCACTTAGCGAAACTCTGTAAATACAACAGAAAATAGGGCTGGGGCTCGGGGTCGAGTGGCCCTGGGGTCAATCCCTGGTACCAAAAAATTAAGGAGCAAAGGATCCTGGGACGTGTTCCTCGGATGGTCAGGGGAGCTGGGCCACCAAGAGCTGCCCGTGGGGGGCCCCTGACCACAGGGCAGCAGGTCCCTGCAGGAGGTCTCACCCGAGCTCTGGCTGTGAGCACGAGGGCAGGAGGTGGCCGCGCGGTCATCAGGGACACGAGTGCCCCACCCCATGTCACGCGGTTCTCAAGGAGCTGTCCCTGCTGTGTCCCTCCGTCCCGCAGGGGAGGCTGGGTCAGAGTCCTTGGACTGGTCTCTGTGCGGTGGCGCTCCCTGGGGCCCCTGTGGAGACGTGGCCGCCCACCCTGCGCCCTGCTCTGTCCCTCCCAGGCCAACACGGGGCAGATCGACAGCCCCCGGGAGAGACACCGCGTCATCAGCAGCAACCTCGCCCTGGTCCAGGTGAGCGTCCCCCTCGCCCCCTGGACGCGCCGCCTCCGTCCCCTTGGAACCTGCAGCCGGGTCATTCCAGTTGGGAAGGGGGACGGCCACGGTGCCCTTGTCCCCGCGCTCTGGGCTGAGCTCTGAGAGCCGGTGGCCACGTCCATCTGTTGGTGGGGCAGCTGGAGGCTGTGCACACGAGGGGCCGGGGACACCGCTCCTGGGACCCCAGGGCCTCCCTGCCTCCTGGCCTCCCGGCCTCCTCCCTTCTATGCCGGCTTCTCTGAGAGTCACCCACACTTGGTGGCCTCTCGCCTCCCCATCCACACCAACAGGCTTCTGGTGGTAGACGGGGGCCCCGGGGTCCCCCTCGTTGGCACATGATTGGCCTGTTACACGGGAGGCCCCCCGTGGCCTTGTTCTGTTCTCTCAGCCTCCGAGAGGCCTGGGAGCCGGGGCCTCTGCCGCCAGACCCTGAAGTCCAGCCCGTGTCAGCACAGGGAATGTGGCGCTGTCACTTGTCACCCAGAGCCCCCTGTGTCGCCCTGTGGGACTCCAGCCCTGCCCAGCGTGAGGGCAGGAAGCTCACTGGGCCAGGGGTCCTGGGGGGCCGTGGGGTCCCCATGGTGTGGGTGGTGGCAGCTACGGTTTGCACTTAGGGTGTCCTCCAGGGCCACCGGGAGGTGGTTGGACGTACAGCGGTGGCCCGAGGTCAGGCCATGCCCTGGAAGGGGCCGCAGGACCCCAGCCGCCTCCTTGCTCTCCTGCTTCCTGGGCATGAGGTGAGCAGCCTGCTCCGCCCTCCTGGGCTCTGCCATGAGGTGACCCCGGCCCAGAGCAGTGGGGCCCGTCTTTTGAACCCAGGGCCATGTCCCCAGCCCTTTTCATATTTTATTTAGAGTCAGGGTCTCGCTGACTTGCTGAGGCTGGCCTCCAACTTGCGATCCTCCTGCCTCAGCCTCCCACCCTCCAGGTTTAAACGTCAAGGAGTTTCTTTTCACAAACGTCTGTGCCTGACCTCCCCGGCCATCTTTACACAGTGCCCACGTTCCATCTTGATTGGACACGGCACCTGTATCGTCCCCAGTGCTCACACGTCCATGATTCAAGTTTATTGTGCTAGATTTTAAGATTTCAAGCCGGGTTTGGTGGCGCTCGCCTGTAACCCCAGAGGCTCGGGAGGCTGAGACAGGAGGATTGTGAGTTGGAGGCCAGCCTCAGCCACGTAGCAAGGCCTTGACCTGGGCCCTGGTGGTCCTTGGCAGAGGCCTGAGCAGCTGAGGCGGCCCGAGGTTCTGCCGCAGCAGGGGGCAGAGGGACGGGGCAGTCTCCAGGGTCCAGGGCTGAGGGTGTTGTCCTTCTAGGGTGGACAGTGGTGAGGGACCCCTCACCCCTCATGGTGCCTCCTGAGGCCTGGTGGGGGGCGATCTGACTTCTGTCCCCACAGTTGCAGGCCACCGTCGTGGGGCTCCTGGCTGCTGTGGCCGCCCTGCTGCTGGGCGCTGTGACGAGGGAGGAGGTGGCCGTGGCCCAGGTGGCCCTGCTGTGCGCCAGCAGCGTCATCACCGCCTTCCTGGCGGCCTTCGCCCTCGGTGAGCCGCGGACGGGCGGGTGGTGCTGACCGTGGTGTGGGGGGGCAGAGCCGAGGGTCCCCATGGCCCACCTGTCACCCCCCCATCTCTGCACCCCTATCTCTGTCACCTCCCGATCTCTGTCACCCCCATCTCTGTACCCCTATCTCTGTCCCCATCCCACTTCTGTCCCCAATCCATCTCAGTCACCCCCCGATCACTGTCACCCCCGATCTGTCACCCCAATCTATCTCTGTACCCCCTGATCTGTCACCCCATCTCTCTCACCCCCAATCTCTGTACCCACCCCATCTCTGTACCCCCATCTCGGTCTTCCTCCAATCCTTGTCCCCACCCCATCTCTGACACCCTCCGATCTGTCACCCCCAATCTCTGTCACCCCCCCACCTCTGACCCCCCCATCTCTGTCACCCCTGATCTCTGTCCCTCCCCATCTCTGTCCCCCCCAATCTCTGTTCCCCTCCGTCCGTCTCTGTCCCCTCCACTTGGGTGACACCCGACCTCAGCTGTCAAACTCCAGCTGGTCACTGCCCACGGAGGTCAGACGGTCAGTCGGGGGACGTGGAGGGCGTGGTCCTCCCTCCTGTTGTTGGAAGGTCCCCGACCCACGGGCTCCGCCTGGCCAGGGAGGCCCGTCCCTGTGCTGAGACAGGGCTTGTCAGGAGCCCATCTGAGTGTCCCCGTCCCCACCCTGGCGTCCCCTCCCTGGGCCGCGGCTCCTCACAGACGGCTTCCGGGGCCCTCAGCTTGAGTGAGTAGGGACAGCCGCCTGCGGGGACGGGGACACTGCTGCAGTCAAGGGCTGCAGGCTGTGGCCCCGGTGCCTCCCAGAGGCCCTGCTCCGACACCCTGGCCTCCACTGGGGCTGGGGACGCTCGCTGGAGGCCCCAGCACTGCCCTGCCCGCTGTCCCCTCCTGCGCTGGCTGTCCTGTCACGGCCAGTGCCCTCCAGACCCCGGGGGAGTCCGAGGCCCCAGGGTCTCACCATTCTCCGACTCGGCTCTCCCGGGCCTTGGGGACGGTCCTGCTGCTGCTGTCCCGAGGCCCAGCAGAGGGGAAGACGGGGACACTGGGCCCGAGCTGTCCTGGGGACGGGGGACCACAGTCGACATCGACGTGTCACTGGCTTGTTGAGCCAACGCTGGGGACACTGAGGACAAAGTGTGACAGAGTGGCCTATGGCTGGGTTGAGGGCCTTGCCACGCCCGGAGCCACCTGTGCCCTCCATACTGGGCCTTGGACTCGGTCCCTAGCCTGCAGGGCCCCGCTGACCCAGGGAGTGTCCACGGGCGGTGCAGAGCCAGCGGGTACATGGCCTGGAGCTGCCGGGATCAGCGTCTGCCCCCGCCCTGCTGTCAGCCCAGCTCCCTGGGCAGTGCCCTCGCCTGGCCGGGCCTGGGGCGCGGGGTGGCCTCGGGCAGGACACAGCCCGCCTGCAGGAGCCGGGGTCTGGTCCCCAGAACCGCAAAGACTCACGTCCACGCCAGACCCCCCGGGCAGCCCTGCGTCCTCTCCTGCGGGGACCTGGCCCAGGTGCTCAGCACCTCCCAGCCAGGGTGCAGGACACCTGTCAGGACGGGGCAGGACAAGTGGCCCAGCCCCTGAGGGAGGTGGCATCTGGGCTTCACATCCTCAGGAGGCAGCGCCCAGTGCAGAAGCCCAGCCACGGTGCAGGGCCCAGGAGGCCGCTGTGCCCAGCTCCCTCGTGCACATGGGGACACAGAGGCCCCGACGTGGACGGTTGGTCCTGTCCACAGTGTTCAGGGCGTCCAGCCCCAAGTGGCCCCCAGGGGGCTTCTCTGTGGTGGTTCTTATCGTTTTGGTCCCAAGGGTTGAACCCAGGGCACCTGACCCCCGAGCACCTGACCCCCAAGCCCCTGACCCCAGCCCCGCCCGGCCCTTTCCATAGTCCATTTAGAGACAGGGCCTCCCTGAGTCTGAGGGCCTTGCTGTTACTGAGGCTGGCCTCCACCTGTGATCCTCCTGCCTCAGCCTCCCCAACTGCAGGGATGACAGGCGTGGGCCACTGCACCGGGCTGTGGTAGGGATTCGTAAAGAGCGGTCCTGAGCTGGAAGTGTCCCTCTACTTGACCCTCCAGGGACTCTCCCTGGCCCACCAGCTCAGCCGGGCACTGGATTCACCCTGAACTGGGTGGCATGTCACAGGAACACCAGGCCGGGCACGGTGGCGCACCCCGTGACCTCGGCTCCGCAGGCAGGAGGGTCCCAGGTTCAAGGCCACCTGGGCAACCTGGGGAGACCCAGCCTCTAAATAAAAAGGTGAGGCTCCCCGGGTTCCGTCCCTGGTACGAGAAAAATACGGGGCTGTGGCCTGGTCACAGGATGTGGCTCAGAGCAGCTGGCGATGACAGTCTCAGGTGGCACTGAGGGCGCGAGTTGATCACTTTCCCTTTTCTGGAAAGGCCCTCTCTCCTGTGCTGGGACTGAACCAGCCTGCGTCACTCCTGGTCACAGGGGGGTCACAGCGTCGGGGCACCCTGCGCACAGATGGGTTCTTGGCCAAGCGAGCGCCTGCCAGGCTCTGTCACAGGTGGGGAGAGGGGACAGGAGACCACGTGTGACAGTCACAGTGCAGATGGCTCTCAGGTCCCCACGGACACCGAGAGGCCACAGGTTGTGTCCTGGTGCCCAGGGACAGCCTGCCGGGCTCCCGAGACGGGCCTCCACCCCACGGGCCTCTGCCGCCTGGCCCAGCCCCGCCCTGAGGACGCTGTGCCCTCCTGCCTGCCCCCTGCCTCTCCCCCCAGGTTCTGTCCCTGGTCAGCCTGTGCCCCCCGAGAAACCTGCAGGCCACGTCCCCAGCCAGGCCCTGCCTCTCAGCACCTTTGGGATGTCCCTTCCACGCACGGGGCTGTGAGGTCACCTCCAGGTGGACGGGGCTGGGGGCCGCCTGCGCTGATGAGGGACAGTGGGAAAGCTTTGGGCAGCTCCTCGGCCCCCCCAGGCCACGCTGGGCTCTCCTCCCACCTTCTGGGGTCTCTGGACCTGCCCCCCTCTCTCTAGGGGTGCTCATGGCCTGCATAGTGATCGGCGCCCGGAGGCTGGGCGTCAACCCCGACAACATCGCCACGCCCATCGCGGCCAGCCTGGGGGACCTCATCACGCTGTCCATCCTGGCCGTGGTCAGCAGCTTCTTCTATAAGCACACAGGTGGGAAGACATTCGGGGACAGGCCTGAGGCAGGCGCAGGGGCCCACACCTGTCATCCCTGCAGCTGGGGAGGCTGAGGCAGGAGGATCACAGGTGGAGGCCAGCCTCAGCAACAGCGAGGTCCCGTCTCTAAGTGAAATATAAAGGGCTGGGGACGTGGCCAGGGGTCCAGTGCCCCTGGGTTTAATCCCTGGCACCAAAAAATGGGAGGAGGAGGAGGACAGGCCCAGATAGGTCACCACCAAGGCTGGGTGAGCACTCGGGCCCCAGGTGTGGCATTCAGAGGGGGCCCTGTCCCTTTAGGAAGGAGCCGGGGACTGCAGTCATTCAGCAGGTCCAAGGACCCGTGGGGCTGTGCGGCCCCTGGCTAACCCAGGGGGCAGGCGGCATCTCCTGACCTCGTCACCTCCTGTCCTGGGGGCGACCCCCGGGCTGCTTGGGAACGGGGCAGGGCCGTCCCTCCAGTGCTACCATGTTGTCAGCACGGGACCTGGCACTGGAGGTGACCACCTGGGTGGGGGCCCAGGGTGAGGTGGTGACCAGGTAGGTGGGGGCCCAGGGTACGGTGTCTAGGAAGTCACCCACCTGGTGGGATGGGGGTGAGAGGTCCCCTCAGCTCCCAGTGTCCCTGGTCCCCAGCCCACCCAGCCAGGCCAGGCCTGGGGCCAGCGGGTCCCCAGCAGCCGGTCCCCTCCTCCTGCAGACAGCTGGCTCCTGGCCCCGCTGGTGTGCCTGGGCTTCGTGGCCCTGACCCCGCTGTGGGTGGTCCTCGCCAAGCGGAACCCGCCCATCGCCAGGGTGCTGAAGTTCGGGTGGGTCCCCATCATCCTGGCCATGGTCATCAGCAGGTGAGGACGGCGACGAGGCCAAGAGCTGTGGGGCCCCAGGGTGAGGTGCCTCGGGGTCGGGGCCAGCGGGTCCCCGGGCAGCTCCCATCCTGGGTGACACCTCGTTCTCCCCAGTCTCGGCCACCGTGAGCCCAGCCCCTGCCAGGCTCAGGGAGCTGCCCTGCTGGGGGGCCAGGGGAGCCCCCCTGCCCGCCCCCTGCCCCAGCTGGGGCCGTGGACAGAGGCCAGTCCCCTCACGGGGCCAGGCTGACGCTCCAGAGCCTCGCGGCAGCTGGGGCTGTGACAGCGCCCCGTGGGACTCCAGCTGGCCCATCCCCTCTCCTGGTGGGGGACTGTGGGGCCGCCCCGTCCCTGCTGATGTGTTCAGGCCTTGGTCTCAGGCTGTGGTGCAGGCGCCTCAGCTTCTAGAAGGTTCCGAGGCCCCTTTACTGGCCCCTCTGCCCTCCCTGGTCCCAGGTCCCAGGTCTGGCTGCAGCCTGTCGGGGTCCCGAGGGCACCAGGGTCCTAGTGGCCGTGTCCTCCCTGAGAGCTGCTCAGCGTGGCCAGGAGCCACCCATGACCCTGCTACTGTCCCTCTGGGGAAGGGCGTCTGCATGTTGTCCTCTGCCTGGCCCCCGGGACAGCCCAGGGTCGGGTCAGTGATGGAGCACAGGATGGGGGCCACGGCAGGCTGGGACAGGGATGGCCCTGAGGAGCCCTGGGGCTGCCTGAGTGTCCGCCGTGGTCACCGGGTGCCATCTGCTCTCCGCCCAGCTTCGGGGGACTCATCCTGAGCAGGACGCTCTCGGAGCAGCAGTACCGCGGGATGGCCGTGCTCACCCCCGTCATATGCGGTAGGTGCTGGACTCGGTCCCCGGGGTCCCCGGGTCCCCCCCTCGTCCCCTGGCCGGGCCTTTCTCAGATGAACTGAGACCAGGGGGAGGAAGCCCTGCCCGGTCCCTGTCCCAGAGGTGCCATGGGCCTGCAGTCGCAGCTGCCCAGCGGCTTCCCGTGTCCCGCAGGCGTCGGTGGCAACCTGGTGGCCATCCAGAGCAGCCGGATCTCCACCTACCTGCACGTCCGCAGCACGCCCGGGGTGCTGCCCCTGCCCATGAAGGGCTCCTGTCCCCGGCCCTGGGCCACCTTCTGCAGCCCAGGTGGGTCCAGCCCCGCAGGCCCCTGGGGACACTTTGTCTTAAAAAACAAGTGACATCGGTGTCTGTACGGCGGACGCCTGAGGCGGAGGTGAGCCTCCCCCAGGTCCTCCTCCCGCGTCCACAGCGCCTACCGTCTGTCGACCTGGTCAGGTGACCGTGAGGTCAGGGGCAGGTGACTTCTTGCCCTCTGGGAGTCCAGAGCAGCAGACAGGACAGACAGAATGATCCAGAAGGCCAGGCCCAGGGCGTGGTGAGGGCCAGGAGCAGGTGCTGGGATGGGGACCGGCCAAGCAGAGGCCCGGAGGCAGGAAGGAGCTCTGGTGTCTGAGGCACTGGAGGCCCATAGGAGGCTCGGGGAGGAGGAAGCAGAGGCCGGGGAGAAGTGGGGGACCCTGAGGGCCCCGGGGTCAAGCTTCAGGCTGGTCCTGTCCTGCGAGCCCGGCGGTGGGGGGGGCTCTGCTCTTTCTGTAGCTTTTTTTAGGGGGACACTGGAGATGGAGCCCAGGGGCACTCGACAGCCATGTACCCACCCCGTTTTTTTTTAGTTGTCGAGGGACACGGTGTCTTTATCTTTACATGGTGCTGAGGGTCCAGCCCACTGCCTCCCACGTGCCAGGCAGGTGCCCTCCCACGAAGCCCTGTCCCCAGCCCTTTTTCTATTTGATTTAGAGACAGGGCCTCACCAGGTGGCTGAGGCTGGCCTCCAACCTGTGATCCTCCTGCCTCAGCCTCCTGAGTGGCTGGGATGCCCTGGGACCACCCTGCCCAGCCACGTGCTCCCTGTCGGCCTCCTTGGAGGTGACCATGTCAAGCAGCGAGGCTGAGTGACAGTGACTCCCCTTCACCGCGGACTCCCTAGAGGAGCCTGAGGAAAGTGGGGGTTGCTGATGCCCCACACAGTGCCCAGCAGGCCACAGGTGCTTTTGTGTGAAGGGGCTCCCAGGGCCCCCTGGAAGGACAGTGGCCTTCTCAGATTAGAGGTTCCATGCACGAAGTGTGGGTGTCCCTGATGTCCCCAAGCTCTTTCCCACCTCACTGCCCACACCTGTTCTCTTGCCTGTGCCCGGAATCTTCTCCCCCAAATGTAGGTCTCAGCTCAGATCTCGGGGTCACGTCCCCGAAGGGCCCTCTGACCCCTGGGACTCGTCCCTCCTCTCGCACCCACGATGCCCTGCTGTGTCACCAGGCTGACTGTGGCGGTTGCAGTTTGAAATGCCCCTTGGTGCTCTGCTGCTGTGACTCGGCTCCCTTCTGGACACCAGCCCCGTGGGGTCAGGCGGGCACCGTGGGGTCAGGGGGGAATGCCGTGGCCCTGGCTGCCGGGCGGTCACAGGGGCCCCGGTCCTGTGTCCCTGCAGAGATCAACTCCACGTCGGCCCGCGTGCTGCTCCTGCTGGTGGTGCCCGGCCACCTGCTCTTCTTCTGCGTCATCCGCCTGGTGGAGGGGCCGGCGGTGGCCAGCAGCAGGACCTTCGTGCTGCTGTACCTGCTGGCTGGCCTGGTCCAGGTGAGGACACTGACCAGCGCACGAGCTCACTGGGTCAGGCCGCAGGCTTTGTCCCCTGCCCTCGGGAGCCACTGTGCAGCCTGGGCGGTGGGAGCTCCTGGACGTGCGGGCGAGGTCCCCACCTTCCATGGGTCCTGTCAAGTCACTGACCTTATTCAAGCCCAGTGGCAGGGTCCAGCCACTCGTCCACTGCCCACTGCACATGATGGCACAGGACACACCCATCCTCGCGCTAGGCAGTGCCAAGGAGGCAGTGTCCATGGCTCAGAGGACAGGGCAGGCCTGGCCCGCCCGGGGTGCTGCGGAAGACCTGCGCGGCCTCTGGTCAGGGCTGGTGGCCTGGAGGACGGTGGTGTGTGGATTTGCCCTGGAAAGTTCTGGAAGGGCTAAGTGGCCAGCGCTGCAGGGCAGAGTGTCCACGTAGACCCAAGTGGGGGTCCCAGTAGGGTCTCAGGAGCAGAGCCAGGGCAGCAGGTGGGTGGCAGCAGGTCTGTGTGGCACTGATGGAGGCCAGAGCAGGAATCGGCCCCCAGGAAGGACAGAGGAGGGTGGCCTTCTCTAGCCAGAGCACCAGCTGGCCTTCCGAGCGTCCTGTTCTGTGTGGCTGGAAACTTATAAAAAGGGGCATTTGAGCCGGGCACTCACTGCCGTCCCAGCGGCCCGGGAGGCTGAGGCAGGAGGATCTCAGATTTGGAGGTCAGCCTCAGCAAAGGGCGAGGCCCTGTCTCCAGATAAAACACCAACGGGGCGGGGCCGGGGGCGGGGCCAGGACGGTGGGCGAGGCCCTGGGTTCAGTCCCTGGTGCCACCAAGAAGCCTGGAATTCGGGTGGCTCTGGGGTCCCATGAGCGGCGCCAAGGAGCTGTTCCAGGGGGACTGGCCACGCGGGAGGGTGAGGCGGCGAGGGGACCCAGTGTCACCCACTGTCACCCACCGCTCAGCGTCCCAGGGACCCGGCGCCCTCGTGGTGACCAGCGCCAGGCTCGGCCCCGGGAAGCGGGAGGCGCCTCTGAAGCCCGCCTGGCGGCCCTGCCGGCCCTGACCCTCTGCCTGTGTCCCGTGTGTCCCCTGCTCTCCAGGTGGTGGTGCTCCTGTACCTGGCGGAGGTGGCGGTGCGGCTGACGTGGCACCGGGGCCTGGACCCCGACGACCACTGCATCCCCTACCTCACGGGGCTGGGGGACCTGCTGGGCACCGGGCTCCTGGCGCTCTGCTTCCTCGCCGACTGGTCACTCGCGGGCGGGGCGGCGCCGGGCGGCGGCTCCGCGTGGACCCCCGGCCCCCCCTGACGGCGCCCGGGCGGCGGGACGCTGGCTGTCCCCTGCAGGATCCTCAGCGGTCACTCGCCCGCCCGGCAGCGGCCTCCGCCGCGGAGCCGCGCGCACCGCCCCTTTGGACGCCAGAGACGGACTCTGAGGCCCGGAGCCTCATGTGCGCGTGCGCGGAGCTGCCGGCCCCCGAGTGCCGGAGTGCGCACGCGCGGGGCGGGGCCGGGCTCGCAGCTGCGCAGGAGGCCGGCGTCGGTCCCCAGGCCTTCGCCGGTCGCCGGTTCCTCGTTCTGTTCTTTTTTAAAATTTTCTTTAGTTGTAGGTGGACACAGGGTCTTTATTTTTATGCGTGTCCGAGGCGAGTGCCCCGAGCCCCTCGGCCCCGGCCCGTCCCCTCCTGTACGTCCTAGCCGGGACTTGTGTCCCCCGCGGCGGTCGGAGAAGTGGAATAAACCCCGCTGCCTCCCGGCCTTTGGCGACCTCAGCGTCGCGCGGGGTGGGCCTCGAGCCCCCCCAGGGCAGGACATGACCCGGGTCGCGTTGGGCCCGCAGAGGTTCGGGCAGCGGCGTTCGCAGAGCGCGAGGAAGGAGTGTGCGACCGCGGCCGCCGTCGAAGGGCAGAGCGGCCAAGGGGGGCTGGGGGCGGGAGAGCCTGGCCTTGCCAAGCCGCGCCCAGCACGAAGGCCTCTCATCACAGAGGCTTGGAGGCTGAGGCAGGAGGATCACAAGTTGGAGGCCAGCCTCAGCCACTTAGCGAAGCCTTGAGCCACTTAGAGCTGGGGATGCGGCTCCCCCCTGGCACCGAGAAAAGCGCAGTTCCCCCCCTTGATGTGCATGGGAGGCGGTGGTTGCTGACTGAATGCTGGTGACGCTGAGCTCTGGTGCATGTTGAATGAATGAAGGCTCCTAGAGGAGGCGGTGACATGGGTCTGGCAGCCAGACACCCCGCCTAGAGCCCTGCTCCCCCACATGTGTAGCGTGGCATCAGAGACAGGCAATCACCTGCAGCAGGGTTTATTTACAAAGGGGTGATGGGGACTTCTGGGATGGAGAAGGAAGGGGCCGAGGCTGGCGTCCCCAGGAGGGAGGGCGCTCTGCCTCTTGTACGCCGGGGCCTGCTCTGGTGTCCTGCGCTCTCCCCGTGTCTCTCCTTCCTGCCCATGTGATGGCCAGGAGCTGGCCCAGGTGGGGTGGCCGGAAGGTGGGGAGCAGATGCACAGGGGGGGCCCAGGACACAGGAACAACTTTCCCAAGCCCCTGTGGGGAGGGACAGTCCCGGGGACGGGTTCCCTTAGCAACAGGGTGGAGCCTGTAGGCTGTCTTGATACAGATGGAGAGAGGGCCCTGCAGGCAGTGGCCTGGCCATCGGGGGATTGTCCCCACCTTCCCAGACCCAGCTGGCCCCACTGGACCCCAGCCCTGCCTCCTGGCCTCCCATTTAGTTCTGGCTTTAGCCTCTGATCGCCAGGTGGGCCCAGGCCAGGTTGGCCGCCCAGCCTCCCCCTGCAGCCGTTTTCTAGAAGGCAATGGTCAGTTTTTAAAGGTCTTTTGCAGCTGTAGGTGGACAGCGCCTTTACGGTGTGTGCCCATCTTCATGAGGCGCTGGACAGGGAATGGGACCTCACACGGGCTGAGCAAGCGCCCAACCATGGTCCCACCCGTTTTGAAGCCCCAAGTTTCCTGTGCCCTTAGGGAAACCTGACCTGCCCTTCCACAGGCTGATAGCACCCAGGGGAGGAGCAGCCCCACCCCCTGCTGGTGACCAAAGCCCTCCTCGCTGGGCCAATTTAATCTGCCCTGTGCGAATGACCGCGACTGTAAAATGTTTAATGGGGTACCAGGATTGAACCCTCGGCCCCTGAGCCCTGTCCCCAGCCCCATGTTGTATTTTACTTAGAGTCAGGTTCTCCCTGAGTTGCATAGGATTGTGCTAAGTGGCTGAGGCTGGTCTCCAACTTGCAATCCTCCTGCCTCAGCCTCCCGAGCTGCTGGGATGCCAGGCGTGGGCCACTGGCCGGGCTGACTGTGATGTTTTGATTCAAATTATGGCAGAGGGGGTGGGACAGGGGCTCTAGGTGCAGGGCCCTGGTGGCAGCTTGCAAGGACACCTGGCCTTGGTGTGTGTCGATGGCGCCCTCTTCAGGTGGGCCGAGCCACTGCACCCTGAGTTCAGGGCCAGTCTTGCTTTTTGTTGGCCACAGAAGGAGCTCGAGGCCCTGCCTCCTGCGCTGGGCAGGAGCCCCTGTGGGCGTGTCCTCCAGGTCCCCAGCCCCAGGTCTCCCAGCGTGACCACTGCTGTCCTCCCCGTCCAGGCTGCGTGTGACACAGGCCCCTGCCTCCTCAGGCCCAGAGAAGCAGGTGGGGTCACTCGGGGACACTGAGCCCAGCATAAGTGATGTCCTGGCAGGTGAAGGGACGGAGACCTGAGGACAGCAAGGCCATCGTGGCACCTTGAATGGGGTCGCGGCAGCAACTCTGTCACTGGGAGGCCGGCTGAGGGTCCCCGACCATCCTGAGGACCCCGAATCCTCTTCAGTTCCCAAAGGCAGGGTGGCCGAGGCCTGGGAGTGCCACAGCTGGCCCATGTCCCCAGAGACCGGGGACCCCACCTTCCTCCAGTCCCTGTCCCTCCCATCCTGGTTGCCACCCTCTCTGGCCAGCGGCCACAAGAGCGGCAGCACAGGTGACCGAGAGCCAGGTGTCCGCAAGGTCCCACTTATGCCAGGATACTCAGGGCGAAGTCGGGTCCTGACAGCCGCGACCCCGTGGGCAGATGGGGCGGGGCGGAGGGGTGGCTCCCTGGGGACCGTCCCCAGGCGGCTCTTTGCAGGGCTTCCCTCCCCCCAGCTTCCTACCCACCCCCGTGCTGTCCCCCCGCAGCCAGGCCCGAGGGACGCAGCTGGCGTCCCTGCACTGGGACCTGTGGCACCAGGAGCCCGAGTCAGCATCCCCTGAGCTGTTCCCGTGTCTGGTCACAGTGACACAGAAGCTGACAGTGTGTCCCCTGGCTCAGCCTGGGCAGGGGGACAGCTGAGAGGCCCATTTCCTGGCCCAGGGTCACACGGATGGCTTAGAACCCAGGGGGCCGTCCTCTGAGGCTCTTCCTGAGGAGCACAGCATCTCCCAAGGGGACAGGTGACCCCCAGGACGTTCCAGTCGGCTGAGCCAAGTGCATCAGGGTGGGGTGGGGACGTGGGCGGGCAGGGGCAGGGCCAGGTCCCCAGAACAGCCACTGGAAGGGTAGGGGCGCCGCCAGCTGGAGAGGCCGCCATTTCTGGTAGAGGCCAGGCGTGTCCCTGGGGAAACGGGCACAGCGTCCACAGGGCGGGATCATGGGTAGGACTCGGGACAGTGTGGAGGGGGACGTGCCTTGGGGCTCCGCTGCCAGCGGCTTCCCCAGAAGACACGGTCGTCAGGAGGTCAGTCCTGGACCAGAAGGGACTCTGCCTGGACTCCCTGACTCCTGGAGGCTCAGGCACCACAGAGGTGGACACTCGGGTGTGGCAGCTGGGGTGTGGAGGGGGTCCCCTCTAGCCAGGTGACCACGTCCCACGCCGAGGCCCAGGAGGCAGACCTGACCCACACGCACCTCCATGTGGGTAGAACGTTCTGGGTCATCAGGTGTGGAGGCTGCACTGGGGGGAGGCCGCACTGGGGGGAGGCCAGGAGGTCAGAGCCAGCCTCAACCCAGCCAGGAGGCCCACTGGAGGCCTGGAAGCTCAAGGTGGCCGCGGCTTCTGGCCTGGAACGTCCCTCCTGAGCACCTTTTGGAGTCCTGGAGTCCCCTCCTGACGACCTTCCTCGTGGGGCGTGTCACCACCTGACTCTGTCCTGGGCCCCCACTGGGCTGTCACCCCGCTCACCACCATCCCTGGCGTTTGGAGCCATCTGGCTCCCGGGCGGGCACAGCAAGGGTGCCACATGCCAGTGTCACAGGGGGTCAGGGACGTGGGCTCAGTGTTCCCTGAGCCACTGTGTCACGCAGTTTGGCTGTGCAGATGTCCCCTACCCTGAGCATGTGACACTGGGAAACTGCAGGACAGGTGGCCTCTCCAGGCCCAAGGTACATCTGCCCTGTCTCAGTGGCAGCTGCCTCTGCCACTGTCACCTGGACAGTGGCCTCCTGCCCTCCCAGCCGCAGAGCAGGGGCTTGTGCTGACAGCCTCGCCAGCCGGCCTCCACTCCGCGACCCTGGCCCAGGCCTGCAGCTGCCCCTCTGCCCCTCAGCCAGGGGTGCGGCCAGGAGCCACGGCGACACGCACGGGGACATCGTCTTGGTGCCTGCAGAGCTGCTCTTGTTAGCTGCCCCAATTTCTGTCACCTGGGGACTGTCTCTGGACTTGTCCACACACAAGTGCCACATGGATTCCTCAGGTTTAAGGGCCACCTTCACAAGGGCTATGACCAGGCGTGGTGATGTCCCCACCCAGCCGGCCTCCCACATGCCTGGGCCTCCACAGGTGTCTGCTGGGCAGCCGGGTGGGGCCAGGGCAGAGCGCTGGCCTGGCACGCATGAGGCCCTGGGTTCGAGTCTCAGCTCTGCATATAAGAAATGAGTGAAATAAAGGCCCGTGGACGACCGGAAACACACGGAATAATTCAGGCGCTGGGGCTGCACCTGGGGGAGGCTGGGAGGCCAGGCTCAGCCTCTGAAGGTTGTCTCCTGTTTCCTGCACGATTGCACCAGCTTTGTGACACTTGTCCTCTTGGGTCGCAAACTGTTAAATCATCAGCGAATAGAAATAATTCAGCCTCCAGTTCTCAGGCCTCGGGGCCCGTCTAGGTTTGGTCAACCCCGTGAGGACACAGGTAGTACGAGTCAGTCAGTGCTGCTGTAACAAAGCGCCTTACTCATAGGACCCGGGTCACATGATCTGCCCTGGGCAAGCTGGGGGCCTGGGAAATGCAGTGGCACCATCCAAAGGCCTGAGAACCTGGGGTGAAGCTCCCAGTCCTGAGCCAAGGGCCCGAGATGCTGGGGTGGGGTGGGGGGGTACAGGAATCTGTGGTGCGATGGCCAAGGGCTGTACCGGTCCCCATAGACAGTGAGTTCACCCTGCCTCTGCTCTGCAGGACAGGTGACACCCGTGGGCATTGGTGGGACAGGATTGTCTGGTTTCCCCCAGAAGCACCTCCAGGGACCACCCAGCGAGTGTGCTCTGCTGTGGGGTCCCCCTTGGCCCAGTCAACGCCCCAAACCAGACACCGCAAGAGGCTTCCCCAGTGACCTCACCTTCTGAGGATGTCCTTAGCCCCCTCTTAGCCCCTTCGTCTTTGTTTTTGGTGCCAGGGGTTGAACTCAAGGACACTCAACCACTGGGCCAATCCCAGCCTGTTTTATCCTCACTAAGTTGCTGAGGTTGGCCTTGAACTTGTGATCCTCCTGCCTCAGCCTCCCGAGCTGCTGGGATGACAGGCATGTGGCTTGGTGCCCAGCTAAGGTCCGCCCCCCTTTTTTCCCCAATGTTATTAGATTTTCCTGGACCAAGGGCCAGGGCTTGGGTGGGTTCCTTGGGTCTGTGGCCCAGAGACGCCCCATCTGTCTGCAATGGGGAGAGGATATGAAGACACTGGGGGGGGTCTCTCTGCTGACCCCTGGACAGCACCTCATTTGACTGGGTCCCCTGCCTGGGCTGCTGCTCCCTGCTCCCTTTGTCTCCAAGGCCTCTGGGGACACTTCCTGGTGGCCCCTCTGGCCCCTTGGACTTCCCCAGCCTTTTCTGGAACTACCCAGGTCCCCGTCCCCAGGGCTCAGTTCCCTCAGGGGCATGGGCTGCAGCTGAGGTGACTGCTCTCCTAGTGCGTCCCCTCTACTCTGCCGTCCCCACTCCAGTTCAGGCCTCCTTGTCACCAGGCTGGGGTGACGGCTGTGTTCCTGGACAGGTCTGCAGGGTGCTGGCAGGTTGCACGCCAGGCGGCCTCCCCTGTTCTCCCCAGAAGATCCGAGGGGCCTGTTCCCATCTCTCCAGCTCACCCAGGGGACCCGGGGGCGGGCCGTCCCTCCCTGGCCACGACGTGACGGGCGGCGGGTATTCGATGGCTTTATTTTACATGGCTGTACAGCTCGTGTGGAAACTTTAAAAAAAATATACAAATCCATGATCCCATCGTCGTCCCAGATTGTCTTTTTTGTGTGACGTGACCAGCTGTGTCCCCGAGGGGTCTTGCTCCGCTCGCTTGACTCGAGTCCCACGTGTGTCCCCAATATGACAGTGAAGAGAGATGACATGGCTGCACCAGGTCTGCCACCTGCTCCCACCTCAGGGGACACGATGTCATGGCTGGGTGACAGGTGGGGACCCACAGCCTCGTGAATGTGACATGGGGACAGCAGCTTGCTGGTGGCTCACGCTCCCCAAGCCAGGTCTGAGAATTGGACCCCCATCCTGAACCCGGTGACACCCTTCCAGAAACATCTGAGAAAACATGGGTGACACTGGAGCCCCAGGGGTCGGGACCAGAGGCTGCACTTTCTCAGGAGCCGTCACCAGGCCCATCCCGGCGCCACAGTGTGGGCCCAGCACAGGGGACACTGCGGGAGGCCGAGGCTGGGCGTCCACGTGGCCCCAGGAAGGCCCTGCCATGTCTCTTTCTGGAACAATCTAAAAGGTGCCCTTTGACTCGACCCTTGGTTGGGAAAGATGGTGGAGAAAAGCTGACGTCTAATGTTGTCACCTGGGCCATTTGTCAACAGATGCACGGGCAGGTTCTGCAGATGTGCAACACAGAGCCACGCACCGAGGACATGCAATCCCATGTCACTTTCCCGTCACAACAGTGGCTTGGAGCCGTGACACGGGGCCCTGTCTGCGGGATTCGGCCACAGGGACCACGCAGTGCTCCTTCTGCAGACCGGCTGGTGCAGTGGGTGACCTCAATGACATGGCAGAGGGGGCACGGGATGGCGCAGTGGGTGACCTCAGTGACACAACAGGGGCACATGAAAGGAAACAGCCGATGGCCCTGGGTGGCCCGCTGTCCCCAGGCTCAGGGCTGCAAACTGGAAAGGAGGCCGCGGGTGACTCAGGCGCAGCCCTGGCAGGGACCGAGGTGTCACCACCAAACAGAAGCAACAAGAGCAGGGTCAGGTGGGGACACCCCTTGGCTGGGGACCAGGTGGCAGCGGGGGTCCCGGGCGGCCTCAGTGGTGACATGGGGGTGGGACGAGCACATGGAGTCACAATGGCCACGACACAAGTCGCCCTGCTGCAGGTGCTGGGCACCTCCACGGCGGCCGGTGACATCCGGGACGGGACAGGGGGCGGGCGGCGGTTCTCGGGGCGCCCCGTGGGGACCTGGAGGAGCGGGGGCTGTGCTTGGAGGAGACGCCGCGCTCAGGTCCAGCTCCGGCGGCCGGCGACAGCGTCCGGGGGACTGAGGGGCGGAGGCCAGGGACACCGGCTCCTGAGGGGACTGCGTGTGCCTGTCGCTTCCCGGGTGACAGCGCGCTGGGCCTGCGGGGCGCTCTGTCCATCAAAGGGTCGCCCGGAGCGGGCGGGGCTCACCCAGGACTGTCACCCGGCCCAGTCGGTGACGCTGTGCCCGGGCGGGCCACAACCCGGGGACTCCTTCCTCGGGCCGAGCGGGTGCCGGCCACTGTCACCTGTCACTCGGGCCCGGGGCGCTCTTCCTGGCGGGTGGGGCTGGGGCGGTGTCGCAGCTACCTGTACAGCGGGATGCGGTGTCGCGTCTATTTATAGGTTTATACTACGTGACGTCTACGTGCGGACTGTCGCCGCCCGCTCAGGCCTACCTAGCGTCTCGCCCTGGCCGGCGACAGGCGCGACGCGGCGAGCCGGGGACGGTCCTCCGGCTGCCCACGGGGTCCGCTCCCTGGTCCTCGTCGCCCGGCGGGGACGCCGCGGGCGCGGGCGCGGGCGCGGGGCCGGGGCGGGGTCCCGCCTGCTCGGCCCGCCCTGGGCTGCGGCGGGGGACGCAGCCGAGGCCGGTCCGTCGAGGTCCCCGCCGGCCGCCTACACGACCGTGCTGATGCCGCTGGCCTTGGCCTTGCTGCCTCCGGGCGGCGGCGGGGCGGGCGGCTGCCCGTGGTGGTGGCCCGGGTGGGCGTGGCCGGCGTGCGCGTGGCCGGCGGGCAGCGGCGGGTGGCCGTGCGCATGCGCCGCGTAGGGGGCGTGGCCGGCGTGCGCGCCCAGGTGGAAGGCGTGCGCGTGCGGCAGGTGCGCGGGCGGGTGGAAGTGGTGGTGGTGGTGGTAGGGCGGCGGGTTGGGCGGCAGGTGGCAGTGCTGCGCGTGGTGGCCCTCGGGGGGCGCCGGGGCCGGGCCGCCGGGGCCGGGGGGCGGGGGCTTCCCGCGGCGGCTGCCGAACAGCGAGCCCAGCAGCGAGGCGGGCGCGGGCGCGCGCGGCGGGCCCTCGCGGGCGGGCGGTCTCCGGCGCAGGTGCGGGCTGCTAATGACGGACCCCTGCGAGGAAGCCAGAGAGCGGTTAGGGGACAGTCGCCTCCCTGCCGGCCGCGGAGGGCGCGTGCGGGCGGCTGGGCTCCGGCCCCGTCCCCGGCGCTGCCGTGCGGGACAGCGCGGGCTGGGCCTGGCCGGGTGGCTGCGGGCGGGGGTGGCCCTGCCCTGCGTGGTGGCGCGCCGCCTGCCCGGGGCCCTGGGGTCCGTGGCCGGGCCGGGACCCGGCTCCCCTGACGCTGCCCTCCGCTCCCGGGGACCTCGGGGCCGCGCCCCGGCAGGGGATGGGGAGGTGGCCGCGGGGATGGGTGGGGCCTCGTCCTGGGGGCGTGGCCTGCCCAGGCCCTTCGCTGCCGCTACCTACTTGCAGACCAAGCAGGGGTGGGGACAGGAGGAAAGGACCCGCCAGGCCAGAGCGGCCGGCTGTCGCTGTCGCGCAGCCCGCGGGCCCCCCAGCTAGCTAAGCAAGCCCACGTCCCACCGCGGCGGCCAGCGACACTCCGCGACGAAGCGATGACATGGAGCGCGAAGCCAAGCCAGAGACAGACACCACAGGGCGGGCGCCCGGGACGGGTTATCCATGCGGGGGGACCACGGGGACGGATGGGGAGAAGCGGGAACAGAAACGCCACCTCCGAGCCCCCCCACCGTGGGCAAGCGCGAGCCGCGGGGACAGTCGGGCAGAGGCCGCATGCAGGGGCCCAGGCAGGCAGGGGCCGTGGCCGCGTCTCTGTGGGGGGAGCCAAAAGAAAAAAACGACAACAGAGAGAAACCGGGGCGGGAGGCGACAGGGGACAGCCGGCTGGACGGGGTCTTTCCTACTTACTTCCAGATTGCTCTCTAGCGATCCTGCACTGCTGCGGCGCCCTCGCTTCCCTGCCCAGAACATGCAATACCAGAGGTTAGACACCACAGGCACCGGCCGGGCGCCGCCTGCCCGCCTGCCAGGGACACCTTGGCCGCCACCGCCCTAGCAACGCAGCTGGGCTGGCGGGCTGCACCTGCCGGCTTGGGCCAGGACAGGGGGTCTCTCGACAGAGCTGGGGCGCCCCGGGAGGGACAGAGGGGGGTCTGCAGCCAGCCGACCTCGGGGTCCTGCGGGCACAGCTGGGGCGGGCGCCTCGAGCACAGGCCTGGGCCCAGGTGGCCGCGCCCGCCTCCTGCCTTGCTCGCCCAGCGCCGGGTTTGGCGCGGAGCTCTGGGAGCCAGTGCGCAGGCGCATCCACGCATATCGGCGAGGCCACTCCTGGCCCAGCCGAGTTCGGGTTTGTGCAGGCCGCTGGCCAGCGGTGGGGACTGATGCTCCTCCGGCCGGCCAGTCCCCGGTGCCCTGTCCAGGTGCTGCAAAGCCTGCTCCCAGCTGGGAGGCCTCTGCCTCCTAAGTGCCTGGCTCGTCCCCAGCCCGGGGTACCCAACAGATGCTCAGCAGGTGTAGCCAAGGCAGGGACAGCCGAGTCTTCCTAGGGGCACTGGAGGCCCAAGTCCAGCTGCTCCAGGGACACACCTCTCCCAGGCTTCCTGCAGGATGTCCCACGCCTCTGGGAGCGAGGACAATGAGTGGCCAGGGACACGAAGTGCTTCTGTGTGTGGCACCAGCCGCGAGTCAAGCGCCATGCTGGACCCTTGCGATGGTGCTCTGTCCATGTCAGAGAGCAGGGGACCGAGGCCGTGGCGGACCCACGGGCTCCATTCCGCCATCACACTTTGGCTGCTGAAACGCACGGTGTCCACTTTGGCCCCAGGGCCTCTGAGCGGGCGAGGTCAAGTTGCGCCAGGGCCCCAGCAGCCCCATGCCAGCTTCTGAGGTGATCCTTGTTACTGCCCTTCGGAGCCAGGCCAGAGGGACCCAGAAATGGTGGGGACAGTGCCGTGGGCATCTCAGGGCGCAGGCCACAATCCTTTGCAGACGGGAGGGAGTCCCAAGGCTAGGAGGCCAGCCTTGCCTGGGGAGGCCAGCCCCAGCGCCAGGTGGGCGCCTGGGGTGACAGGAGGCCACCACGGGTCGGGCAGGAGTGTTTCCTGCCCGCTGCAGGGACCCGGGGCACCCACTGGGACCCTGGTCCTCGTCTCAGCCGGGAGGCGGCGGCTTGCGGTTCCTGCCCACCTGTAGATGGCCCTCCGCCCTCCCCACTCCAGTGTCCAGGGTGTGAAGCCCTGTCCCTGGCCACACGGCGTGGCCTCCACTTCCCCACCTGTGAGGGGACAAGCCTCCTCCTGCGCCTCCCTCTGGGCAACCCTACGTGACGGGACAGAGCTGGAGGAGCAGGCAGAGGGGACGCGGTGCCCAGGCCCTACTGCATGTCCCATGGGCAAAGAGAGGCTTGGCTCCACCCCAGCGGCCTCACGTGGCTCTGGCCACCTGACACCAGTGGCCGTGGGTGGCCAGCTCTCCCTGACGGGGCTGCGCTGGTGAAGGGCAGGGTGCCTGGGGTCAGCCACTGCGACCCCAGAGATGTCCTCTGCCTGGGGAAGCCCCGACCGTGTCCTCCACAGCGTGGCTGCTCTGGGCACAGGTGCCAAGGCCCCGTCCCCCCGCCCTGAGGTGGACCACCAGCCCCCCAGGCCTGGAGCCAGATAGGGCCACAAAAAAGACATGGGCGCAGGTTCCGGTTGAAGGACGACCATGGCCAACAGAGACCAGGTGAGTGACAGGCGCCCGACGTGGCTGTGGACAGGACTCCCGAGCACCAGACTGGCCACCTCGTGGGCATCCCAGGTTCACACTGGGCGAGGCCAGGCCTGGCCATCTCCTGAGTGGATGTGCGTGGCAGCTCGGTCCCCTGCTCTCAACTGGCCACAGGCTGTCCCCAAGGCTCTCCTCTGCTCCGCGGCGCATCCTGCTGTCACGGGGTCAGGCTCCGCTCGGCGAGGGCCGGGAGGGCTCAGGGTCCCCGGCCGCCCGCGGTTCATCTTCCTCCCTAGCGGCTCCAAGGGCATCTCCGGCCCAAACTGGTGTCCCTCTGGATGGCACAGGTGGCCTCTGCTGGCACCTTGGACGCAGGCTGGGCCCGGACGCTCACATCCCGTCCTGAATCTGTCCCGGCTCGTCACGCGCCACAGGCCAGGGGCCTCAGCTCAGGAGGCCACAGCAGTGACCACAGGAACAAGCTGACGGCGGCTGCCCTCTGACCTCTGCCCTCTCGTGGAGGTGACCCGGGCAGGGGGCTGGCTGATGTCTCAGCACAGGCACACAATGGGCAGCTGTGCTGGTGACCGCTGGGCCCGGAGTGGGGCCTGGCCAGGGCGTCGGGCGGGGAGGGCGGCCGAGCCCTGCACAAACGCGAACCCAGAGCCGGGCCCACCGCCTGCGGTCGCCCCAAGCAGTCCCGAGAGTGGAGCTGGGTGGACACGGCCACTGGCCAAGCCAGCGGTTCTCAACCCGGGGTGGCTCTGGCCCTGCAGCCCCAGGGGGCAGTACGGTCCCCACGCGGACATAGGACGGCTGTCCGGTGGCAGAGACCAGGATACTCCTAACCCCTGCCAGGCCCCACGTGGCCACGGCCAGGAAGCCCTGCCCAGGGTCAGCCGTCCAGGTTGAGAAGCCCTGGCCCAGCCTCATGCTGCGATGAGTTCTGAGGTTTCACCACGAAAAATGGACGACAGACGACAGCAAAGGACAGAAGGCCACTCAGCACACGGTCACCGCGAGCCGCAGGAGGCAGGCGGGCGGCCCTCGAGGCTTCCCCACCAGCAGCCCCCGAGGCCCTGGCCCTTCCCTGGGCAGCCGGCTGACGAGAGGACCCCTGGGAGCCCGAGGTGCCACTAGTGGGGGGGACCGGCTGGTGGCAAGCGCCCCACAGCCACACCCCAAGTGTCCCCAGGCTCCCCGACGCCCTGGGCCCGGCGCGCCCGCCACCAGCTCTGTGCCCCACAGGGGCCTGGGCGTCCAGCACAGAGGTCCCCGTGGGGAAAGCAAGACAGAGATAGCGGGGATCCCCTCCCCCCGCCCCCGCGAGCACCCGGCACAGAGGGCAGCACAGCGCGCGGACAGTGGCCTGCCTGCTTGGCCAGAGCGGGTCTCAAGGGAGCAGGGTCAGCTGGGCCCCAGGAGGAGGACGGGGCGGCACCCGGGCCTTGCCAGCCACCCCTCCCACCTGGGCCGGTCCTGCGCCTCTAGGACCTGTCTAGGATGCCCTCTCTGTGTGGTCAGCGGTCACTCGGGTCTGGGGACAGTCAGGGCGAACCCCAGAGTGCTCCTTGCAGGTCCCGGGCAGGCCCTTCCCGGATACCGACCGCGGCCGCCTGGGGCTCAGCGTGGCACACAGCGGGCTGGGAAGGGGGACCGCCGCTGGGCCCTTACCCGCTTCCGAGAGGTCGCGCAGGGAGCTGCTGAGGGCGCTGCGCTTGAGGCCCTCCCCGCCGGCGTAGCTGTCGTCCAAGCAGGCCCTGCCCAGCGCCCCGTTGCCCGGCTCCTTCTTGAGGCTGGAGCACTGGGACATGCTGGGCCGCACCACACCCTTCTGCTTCTCCAGCTCCGCTGCAACAGAGAGGGTCAGCACCCGGTGAGAGGAGCCCAGCACAGGACGGCAGCCCAGGGGGCAGGGACAGGCACCACCACCCTCTGCTTGGCCATCTTCACCAGGGTGGGGAGGGGCCGTCTTTGGAAGGGATGGCCGTCACTATGGCACTGGGCAGAAAGGAGACCCCCGGAGGGTGCCGGAGAAGCCACTCTCCTGTGACCTGCAGCACAGAAGGGCTTGTGCCAGGCTTGGGGGCAGTGAGGCCAGGGCTGGCTGGGCTCTGGGAGATGAGCCTAGGTTCAGTGGGACCCTTCAGAGAGAGTTCTGGGATCCCAGTGGCTTGGGAGGCTGAGGCAGGAGGATCGCAAGTTGGAGGCCAGCCTCAGCAACTTAAGGAGGTCCTGTCTCAAATAAAATATAAAATAGGGCTGGGGACATGGGTCAGTGGCGGCACTAGCCTAGCACGTGTGAGGCCCTGGGCTCCATCCTCAGCACCACATAAAAATGAATAAACAAAATAAACATATTCCATCTAAGACTAAAAAATATTTAAAAAATAAAATAAAGGTGCCGTGTGCACCCACAACCACACGGAAAGAAACTAAATCAGAAATAGGAAGAGGACCCAGCTCAGAGGTTCAGCACCCAGGGTTCAATCCCTGGTACCAAAAAAAGTCAGTCCAGCCTGGAGTCCAGGGATGGCCTTGGCCGTGACCCAGTGCTTGGCGGGTCCAACCAGGAGGAGGCCACTGACCTTGGCCCCAGAGCTCTGCTCGGCCATGAACCCAGCAGGAGGCTGGCGCTGGCCCCTGGGCGCCTCCCGGTGGGGTGGCGGGACCTGCAGGGGCTGGGGGTGCCTGACAGCCCCGCCCCATGCGGTCACCGGGGGACTCACATTCGATGCGGTGTTTCTCCATCTCCTGCACCTCGGCCACCGACTCCCGCAGGTCATCAGTGAACTTCTTCCGGTCCTGGGGGTTGGGCGCGTTGAAGTTGATGAGCACTTTGATGTCCGCCCCGGGGACAGCCGACGTGAGCCGGATGCCATTGGGGTAGTCTGTGGAGGACAGAGGGCCACGCTGTGGGGCAGGTGTCCTGCACCAGGTCCCCTGGCCTGGCCAGTAAGGTCCCAGGGCCTGGAGGGTGTGAGGGCTGGGCCTCTGGGCAGCGGCAGGATCGGGCACGGGACAGTCTCGGCTCCTGACTTGGGGTGGTCACTCCCCGCAGCTCCCCGCCTCTCCAGCCTGAAGGTCACAGAGGGGACCCTTCCTCAGAGGCCCTCGGTCACGGTGCCCAGTACCAAGTCCACAGAGAAGGGGTGCTGAGCAGGGGCGGGCGCCCGTCACCCAGGCAGCTCTGGACAGATGAGGGGCTGGCCTCGACCTAAGGAAGAGGGCCTTGGGGAGTGCCGTGCACACCCCCGGACACACGCTGCCCACACCTTCCTGGTGCCACAGCTGAGCTCTGGGGTCCCTGTCCCGATTGCTCTCAGGAGGGAGCTGACGCGGGCCTGTGGAGGGTCTCGGCCCAGCACCAGCGTGTCCCCACTGACACCAGAGGGGCTCCGGGTGGCCACAGGGGACCAGGTGTGCACAGGTGTGTGAGCGTGTGTGCGCGTGGCACAAGTACAGCCATGTCGTGGCAGCCCCTTGCTGGCCCGTGGGAATGGCCGCTGATTGACACCAAGCCTTGTGATCCCCAAGAAAAGCCAGCCACTGCGCACACCCCAGGGTCTTGCTGCGCTACTGAGGGCCTCACTAAGTGGCTGAGGCTGGCCTCCAATTGGCCATCCTCCTGCCTCAGCCTCCTGAGCTGCTGGGATGACGTCTGGGCCACCCACCGTGCTCTGCAGGGACTTCTTTTGGCACATAGAATGCGCCTGGCCGGGGGCTGACCCAGGCTGCCTGCCAGCCTGGGCCCTAGGGGAAGGCGTTCTTGTGGTGTTGGTAGAATGGCCCTGGCCAGCACCCGTAGTCCAGCACGTGCAGCCTTGGGCCTCTGGAACGTCACTTCCAGGGCCACGCCAGGTCTGGTCCCCACCCAGGGAGCAGGAGCCATCACCACCCTTCAGGGATGGGGTGCTAGTCGGGGTGACGTGGGGATGGCCCCCACTGATGTCACTCTGGTACGTGTGTGGGACACCAAGCAAGGCACAGCTGTTGACCAGGGAGGGGCAGACGTGGGGACTCAGCCGAGGGCATGTGAGGAGGGGACGGGGTGAGGCTGGTCCTGGCCGGGTGGCCCTTGGGTCCCACCAAGGGAAGACAGGCGGCAGGGCAGCCAGGGGGATGCTGTCCCCACCCAAGATGACAGGCCGGCTTCAGGGATCTCCGGGGACAGGGACAAAGAGCAGAGAGCGGGGGCAAGGGACGGGCCAGCTCACAAGCCAGCGGTGGGTGTCCCAGGTAGGAGCCACCCCCAACCCAGGACCCCTCCAGCCCCGGGGTCCCCAAGGGCCTGGGGACAGCCCTTCCCAAGTGCTGGCCGTTCTGTGCCATGAGTGACCGGGCCTCCCAGGAAGGAGGCACGGCCCTGGGAGCCCAGCAGGCAGGTCCCCCACGTGGGCCAAGGGGACAGAGGCCGCGGCTCCTGACCCACGGCAGCGGGCACATGGGCCAGGACTCCCCAGGTGGCCAGGCCAGCCCCAAACTCCCGCAGGCGCTCAGTGGACACCTGCCATGCAGCACCAGGCCACCACTGACGCTCTCCAGAACATTCTAGCAAGGGGCCCATCGGCCACACATCAAGTTGACCCCAGGGCCCATGTCCAGGGCTGCTCTGCTTTCCCACAGACAGTGGCCCTGCCACCCACCCTGGGTCCTGGCCTGGAGGTGACAGGGAAGAGCACCTCCCGGAGGGGACACAGGCGCGGCCGGGCACTCACACTGGTTCTCGAAGAGCAGGACCTGCAGGCCGCACAGGGAGAAGGACTGTCGGAAGCTGTACGTCACCGAGTTCTTCTTCTTCTGGAAGATCTTGGTGACCTGGGGACAACAGAGAGCTGAGCTGTGGCACCTGCAGGCGTGGCATGGGCAGCCGCCGCAGAGAGGTGGCTGCGAGGTGGCAGGCACATCCCCAGGCACAGTCCCCTCGGGGCTTCTCCTAGCCAGGTGAGGCGCGTGCACCTGGGGTCTAACGCCCAGGGACAGGAACAGGTGGCCAGGACTCGGCAGTGCAGAGCCCAGAGGCCAAGGCCTGACCTTTGGGGGCCACCCAAGGTGACCTGGGGTGCCCGCCCACCTGCCCCGTCCACCTCCAGGTGAGGGGAGCCCTGGACACACCCCACCCTGCCCCCTGGGCCCAGGACACTGTTGTCACGGGCACTGGCTTGGGTGGGACTCTGCCACAGAAGACCCAGGGCCATGCCCTCCCCAGGTCCCCGGTAGGCGGGCGCGTGTCCAAGGCCCACTGCCCACGCTGGCCAGCCCGGGTAGCCACGTACCACCAGCAGGTCGTTGAAGAGGAAGATCTCCCTCTGGTGCAGGCCCAGCTTCTGGGGCTTGCTGGGGTCGGGGACCTCGAAGAGCCTGCAGTAGCACACCAGCCGCCGGTGGGGCAGGGACAGCACCTGGGGACAGGCCACCATCACCGCTAGCCTCCCAGGCCGCCACACCCGGCCTGCAGGCCAGGCCTCCACTGGGCAGAGGGAACCTGGCTGGTGGCAGCTGTCCCCGAGCACTCTATCCTGGGGACCTGCTCTGTCCCCTGGTCTCGGGCTCCCCCAAGGACGTGTCCCCACTGCTGCTGAGACCTCCTTTGGATTCTCTGGGGGGGGTCAGCCACAGCTCTGTCCCCTGGTCACTGTGAAGGGAAAGGCCTTCCCGAGAGCCCCCAGGGAGGGGGCAGAGGCTGCACTAGGGGAGTCCCCTGTTGGGCCCGACCCATGACCCTCCCGAGTGGCTGTGGCCCGGCGAGCAGAGGTGACAGGCTGGGCAGTCGAGCCAAAGCTTCCGGGTCCCTCTGAAAACATCTCAAGCAGCCGACTTGGGCTCTGGGAGCTGGGCCCTGGCGGGGACGGCAGGGCCAGGGGAGGCTGCCCAGGGTGGCGGGGCGAAGGCGGAGGCCGGGTACTCACACAGCCCAGCCCGTGGTGCAGGGATCCGATCTGCGGGGACAGCAAACGGCAGGAAGAGCCCTCAGTGCTCCGGAGGCCACCCGGCCCGGGGAGCGCAGGGGCCACCGGGCAAGGAGCCTGAGTCCCCCCACCCCCCACCCCAAGGCATCAGCATGCCCTGGTGCCACCAAGGGGAGCCCTCTGTCACTTGACAGATCCCCCATGTCCCACCAGGGTGGGGTAGAGCTGAGCCCCAACGCAGCCTGACCGCTGCTGGTGGCCTCCCGTTGTCAACTACAGCACACAGCAGATGGCTGAGAGGCCCAAGTGCCAGGGGCTGCTAGAACATTCCCAGCCTCAGCCAGGCACAGTGTCCACGCCTGTCATCCCAGGGGCTGGGAGGCTGAGGCAGGAGGATGGCAAGGTGGAGGCCAGCCTCAGGCACTTAGCGAGGCCTTGTCTCTAAATAAAATATCAAAAGGGGCTGGGGACGGGGCTCAGGGGTCGAGGGCCCCCGCATTCAATCCCTGGTACTACAGAAAAAAAGTGCCCGGCTGGAACCACCCACAGGGCCCTGCAGCAGAGCAGAGTGGGCTGGGGACAGGTCACCTGGCGGCACCACTCACCGGCTTCTTCCCCACGATGAGCTTCTCCACCTTCTGCACCTGGGACACGTGGTCCTCGTTGGTCTTGAGCTCCCGCTTCCGGATGCGCTCGTAGATGCCGATCAGCATCTCCCGGGGGATGTCCTCGCCGTCGTCCACCCCTGGATGGGACGCGGCCCAGGTCAGAGCGGCGGGGGCTGGGGTGGCCGCAGCTGCCCTGGCCCCGCCCACCCGCCCGGAGCTGCCAGTCTCCACACGGGTCAGCAGGGTGCCCTCCTGGGTCCCTGGCAGAGCGGGGTCCCCAGGACGTAGCCCAGCCTGGCTGGTGAGGACACCCCCAAGGGGACGGGCCACCAACTGCCTTCACCGGGCCTCAGAGGGGCTGCCTTGCTCCACCCCGAGCAAGAGGCTTGAAGGTCCCCGGTCACAAAAGGGGACACTGAGCGGGGCTGCACAGCCTGGCTGACTGTCCCTGTCCCTTGGTGAGAGCTGAGGGCTGGGAAATGCGCGGTGTCCCCACGCCACCAAGAAGAGCCCCTGGGAGAAGAAGCCAGCCCCTCGGTGGCCTCCCCAGCCCTCAGCCTGCACAGGCCCAGAGGCCAGGGACACGGGCCCTCGAGCAGTGGCTGGCCCAGGGTGACACGGCCCCACCCCCAAGCTGGACGAGCTGGCCTAGCCTGTCAGAGTGACCAGCTCCAAACCCTCCAGGTCACCCTCAGGTGGCATCTGGACACGGCACCGGGACAGAAGGGACGCACGTGCCCTTTCCGTGACAAACAGCTGCAGTCTCACAAACCGTCCCCAGCCAACCCCCTGACCTGGGCGCCTCAGGCGACCCACCGCTCCTGCCCGACACGGGCTTCTCCCCGAGGTCCCAAGCGCCCTGCTCCTGCCCGGGCACAGGGACCCTGGGACGGTCAGCAGTGGCCCAGCTAAGCCCCAGGGGCGGTCCTGCTGCCAGGCCCATGGGCCACAGGGGCTGTGGGGGAACGTGGGGCGGGTCCCCTGAAGAGACCGCTGGACCGGCCGGGAGGAGCAGCCAGGCCTGGGGACACCAGCCCTGCCCCGCCTTGCCCACCGCTTGCTCTGTGACCGTGGACCTGGCCCTTCCTTGCCCTGGCTGTCCCTTCTCAAGCACAGGAAGGACAGAGTGACCCGAGCTCCTGGCTAGAAGAGAGGTGACTGAGGACAGGCCCCCACCTAGGAAGGCCCCTGGGAAGGGGAGCCCCGTCCCTCCCTGGGCAGCGGGTTAGAGGACCCGGACTGTGGGGTCAGCAGGTGGGATGATGGACGCAGCCCTAAAGCCACTGCCGTGTCCACCCTGCAGCTCTCCTTCCTCTGCCCTGGTCATCTCTGGCTCCTCCTGGGACTCTGACCACCAGCATCAGGCTGGGCCCAGCGAGGGGACAGGGCAGGGAGGCCGGGCGGGGCAGGGGCTGTGAGCTCCCCGGGCCCTGCGCCCCTGCGCCATCAAAGGATCCCCAGTCACCTTCGCCCCCGCCTGGCCACGCGACTTCACAACTGTGGACCTGAAGTCCCTGGGGCCTGCAGGTCCCCACAGACACAGCACAGGGACCCGGGGTGACCACTCAGGCCACGCCCCCCCAGCCCTCCTGGGGGCCTTTGTCTGGGGAATCCCGTGGCCTTTCCTGCCACAGCCAGCAGGGGGCAGGCAAGGACGCCTTAAACCCCAGCAGAAACCCTGGAGCCGAGGGACACCATGCCCAGGGGAATCCTTGGCCACAGGGGAAGGGGTGCCGGAGCTCTGGTTTAGAGAGTAGCTCCGTGAGCAATGCCCGCCTGTCATCCCAGCAGCTGGGGAGGCTGAGGCAGGAGGATCGCAAGGTGGAGGCCAGCCTCAGCAACTCAGCGAGGCCCTGTCTCTAAATAAAAATGGGCTGGGGTGCAGCCCAGTGGTTAGTGCCCTGGGTTCCGTCCCTGGGACTGGAGGCCGCTGGGAACGGCCAGGGGTCAGGCCAGGCTCCGGCTCACACACCACTGGGGCCCCTGGCACCCGGGAGCCTCCAGGGGTGGGTGTTGGGGGAGCCGGTGGGGGTGGCCCGTGGTGGCACCAGCTCACCTCGCAGGTTCTTGACGAAGTCCTCGAGCTTCATCTTGCGCTCGGGCTTGACGTTGGGGCTGTACATGTCCGTGTTGAGCAGGATGATGGCGAAGGCCAGGATGAAGATGGTGTCCGGGTTCCGGAACTGGCGCACCACCCCGGGGTTGCACATGCAGTACCGCTGGCTGGGGTCGAGAGCCGGTCAGGGCCCCCAGGAGGCACGCCCCCTCCCCAGAGCTGGGGGGACACTGGCTGCCGCAGCTGGCCATAAATGTCCTCAA